CAAATATATTTCTTGGATAATTTTACCCAACTAATAATTCATTAATATATATAAAGTTTCTATATACACTACAATTTGTAAGCACAATATTCATTGTGAGTTAACTAAAATAAAATTACAATTTACTCAAAATTGTTATATTGAGTTTACTTGTAATAAGTTATTCATGACATGTTAGCATTTTAATGTGTCTTATAACATTTTTTTTTATTTATAAAAAGACGTATATCAACAATCAGTGTGCTTGTTGAGTTTCACTTGAATAAATTGAAAACAAGAAGTTTACAAAGAGCTTGTTTGTTAAATAAATTTTAAATCCATCAATTGAAGACAATCAATTCACACAATGAGTATTTTTTTTACGTAAAGATTGAATATATTGATTGTAAATAAAAAGTGAACAATCCATGGTTTTCATTTCAAGAGTGTGGATGAAATTTTTCAAACGAATTTTTTTCAAAATTACAATGATATAAGAAGAAAATTTTTTTCCTTGGATGTGAATTATTTTTATGATTTATCAAATATTAAAATTTATATGTAGGTCGTTACAGATTATTGAACTAATTTTCAATAAAGAAAATGCAAAATTTTATGACATGAATATCTAAATTTGTTCAAAAATAGTAAACTTCGTGTCTTTTATATACTAACTATATAAGGTTACATCATTTATTACTTGAATTATGGTTACAAGTTTATAACTTACAGTTTCAACCATTATTTATGAATAAAATTATTATATCATTAAATAAACATACAATTATATTTTTATATTCTATATAAATCTGAATAATCAATGATTGACTTAAAAATTATTCAATACATACGTAGAATTTTTGATAATTTGTTCAAAATTAGTAATTTCATGTCTATTACATACTAACTATATAAGGTTTCATCAATTATTACTTGAATTATGGTTACAAATATATTACTTACAGTTTCAACCATTATTTATGAATGAAATTATTATATTATTAAATAAACATACAATTATATTTTTATATTCTATATAAATCTGAATAATCAATGATTGACTTAAATAATCAATACATACGTAGAATTTTTGATAATTTAAGAATAAAAATATTTAAATTTTTTTTGAAATTCTTGTCCATTTAAAAAAATAATCATGTTATAACCCAAAGATAAAGGATAAAATCAATATTTTGATTCATGTAAATAAATTATCTAAGATTAAATAATTCAAATAGAATACACTCATGGATACATAGATGTTCAGATATATTTTGAATTTATAATTTGAGAATAATTATATTTTTTTTCATTATTTTTATTTTGTATATAATAAATCAAAATAAATATTTTGACATTATGTTTTACATGAAAATAACTTTTGTTAAAATGATGTGATTTAGTTTTATGAAATGCATCACAATTTATTTTTTAAAAAAAATTTAAACATTTAAAATGTTTTATGTTCATCAAAATGAGAATGTAACATTGAAAATTAAAAGGATACTTATTAGATAAAAAAGGCAATTTTAATCAACTGCCATGAAATCTAATGGAGCATAGTTCTTTTACGTTTTCAGATAAGGCTTTAAAAAGTAAATAAAAATATGATAAAAATACATCTATTTTCAAAAAAATCAATTTTAATTGTTAACAAAAGATTAAACATTTTGATTTATTATTATTATTTGGCCAAATTTATATAACTTAACAAACTTCACAAAAGAGAATCTTGTTGGAATGATTTTTGAACAACATAAAAGTAATTAAATATAAAAATACACAGATCACAAATTAATTAATTATATATTGATATTTTATCCACACAAGATATAAAAAAAAACTACGTTATGTTGGATTATTGATCAAAGATTCATGAAAAGAAACCAAGGCAGGTTTAATAAATCATCCTAATGAAGTATAAAAATTATGCTAGATAAAATTGATTATTGATCTAAAAGTCACATTATATTTGTAGATTAATATAATTGTTGCTATATCTTGCATATTGCAATGCATTTAATATTAATATTAATAAATAATGTGATAAATATAATTAAACAAGCAAGTCGGATTGACAAAAACACTTATAAAGTACACACAAAAATTTCAAAAAGAGATTGAATAAAAAATATTTATCTTATATATATCTTTATAAATTTATTATTGATGATAAATTTGAATTGTATTTGGAATGAAATAAAAGTATTGATATATATAGTGATTAAAAACCTTAAGAAGATAAGATGAAATATAAAATTTTGAAGTATATTTGTCATAGATTTGGACAATAAAGTATGACAATGATATTTAATGATTGCAAAATTCATTGATTTATTTCAGAATTTCAAAATTTTTATTTCAACAACATTTTTATGTAACATATAAAAATTGTAATTTAAATATTTTTACACACAAATTAATTATAACTGAGTAGAATTATCACACATTTGAACAAGATGAAGAAATATTGTGCTGGCAATCAAGGATTAAAAGCACTATGTGGATGACTAGAAGTTTGTGATGTCCATAAACTACATATCTTTAATAATTTTGAAAATTTATAGTTCTTCAAACTCCAAATTCAATGGTTGAAAAGGCCTTAAGGGCTGAATGTAAAGATTGTGAATGTGAAGTTCATGAAACAATCTTTGTATGTTGACATATAGATTTCATGTGTAAATCACATTGCATATAAAAAATCAAGTTGAGTGATATCACTCAATGACACATCTTTTAAATAAGAACAACGTAATCCAATCAATAAGGTCAACAAAAGTTTGAGACTTGAAGATTATACATCAATGAATGCTTTAGCGAAAAATTTAAGCAATCTATTTTTTCACTTACATGACACAAGTATTGAGGATCATGCAAAAGTTAAATAGATTTAGAAAAACATACAACAACTTGGTAACATAAAATAAGATAATAAAATGAAATAATAATTTGATATATTTGATATAAAATATATTATTATGATAATAAATTAGTTTTTTTGAATCCTGTTTCAAAGATTTTTTCTATAAAAAAAGTTATGAATCATAAATTAAGATGATATATATATCATCTTGTGATAATGATGTGAAAGTATTTTTATTTGAAAATTCGATTAAATCAGTATATCTGAAAAAAAAAATTGTTTATATATATATATATATATATATATATTAACATGCATTTTTAATTTACCAAATATATTTTTATATATAAATATTAATCTATAATACAGTTAGCATCTGGACTAATATTAATATATATGATAATTATTTATGATAATGATTACATGTTTTATTTTATTCATGAATTAATCATATGAATTTAATATACTATTCACAATGGATACATTCTGATTTATATGCGGGATTTTTTTATTTCATATTTTATAGAGATCTTCATAAATGTTTTATTTGATAAAAAAAGCTACAAAACTTCAGTTGATTACATTCTCAGATTTAATAATGATAATTTTAACCAGAAAAATAACATGTCCCAATCAATAAACTGGCTGAGTATGGTATTGTGTACAATCATATCATTTATGTTATAATTTTTATAACTATTTATTGCAACATTATTTCATGCATTAACTTGACGAGAAGACTAGCATTTGTATTCTAAAACATGGATTAGAATCACATATTTCAATATAACTTTTTAAGAAACTTTTCATTTTAAAAGAAAAATTTAAATCATTCAATTATTTCATCATGTAGAATATTCGAAGTTTACAATACATTTTTAAAATTCAATATAAGATCATATACAATAATTTTTTAACAAAAAACATAGATCCTCGGTTTTAGAAATATTCAATATGGTTGTGAATGGATTAGAATACACTCGATATTATGTTTGACACATGGTTGAATAAAGTTTTTGAAATCTTTGGAGATCAGTTGGCTATTTTTCTGCACAGAACATTTAAATGCAAATTACTGTATACATATGAAGAATTTTAACAATTTTTATTTGGATACAATGAAACTATATAGTTTTATAAATGGTTATTTTACTACAACATTTAGAATATTATATCTCTCAGGAATGATTTATAAATACTTGCATCTATTTCAAAATTTCATTGTGTTATCTCCATCTGTTACAAATAAATTGAAGAAAATCTGTCAAACTTAACAGATGAAAGTAATTTAGGATTTACTTTCACATTGATCATGAATTTAAAAAACAAAACAAAATAATTTATTGATAATAATTTTACATTTATTTTGTTTCTTTTTTGGTTTTCTTGTATTTTAGTTTCAAATTTTGTCAACTTTGATAATTACGTTTTTTTTTCTATTTTTCAATGAAAAGAAATAAACATAAGAAAACATAAAATACAATCTTTAAAATTATGGAAAGCAAGTCATAAATAGACATGCTCTTAATTTTATGTATATCCAACTATATCAACATGGGACCAAGGAAAAAAATGTAAAAGACGATAATCAAAATCTCTTATTTGAAGTTACAACTCCTCCTAAACTCCTTCAAAAAATACATATATGGCAAGAGGCGTGGGGAACTTCCCTGGTTGTTCAATCGAAGCTTGCTTCCTTAGAGGAGTTTCTCCTCCCTGAACTAATTCATTTGCTTGTTGATACACTGTAGAGCAAAGCAAGAACAAGATCATACGGTTACTTTTTAAGGGTAAATTGGTACAAACTCTGGAATTCCCTAACTATCACCAGGTCTATCATCCCCATGTCTCAGAGGAGAAACAGTCATTTTCATTTCCACTACTTATTTGACTATTTTACCAGCACCTGTCTCGGTGAACGCGAGCTTTCAACATAAATTTCAATTCCTCGTCAGTAAGGGAGATTCAATCTCACTCTGTATTACATTGTTTAACGTTACCCTGCACCCAAGAAGAATTTCTTTGGGGTACTCCGTTCCTCTAGAATTAAGTCAAACAGCTGATTCAAATCTACTCACAACTTTTCAAATGTCACTAAATTCGAGTTTCATGAGATTGAGAATCTATCATTGAAGATATGATTAAGGAAAAGGGAGAGAAAACTCAACGAATCATTCGAAAGCTACTCAGCAAAAATTGACCTTCTGGAGTGGAAGGTTGGCGTTAGACATACTTTGTTCCACAATTTATAGATGCCAGTTTTGAAACAAAATCTTTCTTTAGTTCCACCAAATACCTTATCTGGGCGATTCTACTGTGGTTGAAAGCTGTCTCTTTCAAGGAATGACTTCGGTGGATGATTGCGTTTACAAAGACTTCTCATACTAGATGGAATGCATATAATCGAATGTTATTTTGTAGACTAATAGTCTTTTTGTGCTTATGCCTTATCAGGCAAATGATGAGGTTGGTAAGGACGAGAGGAAGAAGTCATAATGTTGAATGAGCCGGGAGTATCTGTAGGCAAATACTACCATGTCTACATGCTACAGTAGTCACTTAATCCCTTGCAGTGGCTATCGTTACCACTTGTTGATATCGTAATTGCGTCCTATGCTATCAACCTATTTGGCGAGAGGAATTGACTTCGACCAGATCTTCCTCTTTCTCTGCCACCGAATTCACATCTGTGTATCAACTTGGAGTGTGAGAAAATCGTACCACCACCTCTACTCTCCGATTCTCTTGTTCTCCGGTTGAAAAACTGATCTGTATCCTCGACCCCATATTTACTTATGAGTACAACTATATAGGTGGCATGTATTCCTTCATTTATTTTGTAGATAAATATTTCATCGACAATCCGACTTTAAGACTGACACTAGCGTCTAGCTGTGAATTTTTTTATTCTGGCTGCTTCTACGGTATCCGAGATTGAGATTCTGCTGTTTAATTTTGACTAATGGTAGTCTATGCACTAGCAAATGATGTGGAGTTGCTTTTCCCATAGTAATAGCACGCGGGGGGTGGGTTCATCAATTTTAGAATGTACAGTAGTTTGAAGCTACAGAAACTGACACAGAAACAGACAAAATCTTCACTAACCATACTTGTTGTTCAAAGTTCAATACGCATCATCAAACGTGCATAGAAAGCCTACTTCAACTTTCATTTCCTATACAAAGGTACTCTTCAAACATCGTTAATAACGTTATTCTTCGTTCTCTTCTCAAGAATCGGCTTACATTTTGTACCTGTAAGATTCACACATGTTAAAAAAATGCACTCGTAAGGAACTGAAAAACAAACCTGGAATGTTCTTACAAATGCAAAAGAAGCCAAAAGCGGAAAATGCCGAACCTCAGCAAGTTTTGCAGACCCGTGAGCGAGGCAACTATCAAGTTCAAAGCATAATGATAAGTGGCCGTGTCATGCCAAATGACACAGGCCTACATCTAGTTATGCTTCTCTTCAACCTCGGCAGGTACCAACTGAACTAAGATGAGAAAATTCAATGGAAAAGTCGTTCCACCTCTCGATTTTTGGAGGGGGAATTGGATAATAGTGGCGCACAACAAACCGAAGAATAAGCAGAATACACCACAGAACCTGACAGACCAGCCCGAAAAGCGCCCCTCGAGAAATGTAGAGCACGAAGCGAAGAACCGTGAGCGCCATAATCTGAACGAGTCACTGGCGGGCGGTGCTCAGGCAGGTGGTGCTCACCCTCCCACTCCTACGCGGTGGTCGCCCGGAGGATCTCCCTCGAAGGAAGGAATGAGCAAAGGAGGAGCGGTTCATGGAAGGGTCGAAGGGTAGGACTGAAAAGATGGTCCTAAACCCGGAAACTGAGGGGCTGATGAGAAGGACAGTTCCAGACTAAGCGGTGCCGCGGCGTAGCGTAGGGTAGGGTCATGCGTTCCGTATGTGGGTGGGGCTTACAGGCTCAGTCACAGCCCTCCCAGCCCTCCCTGCCCTACAAGCTAGGAAAGAAGAAAGTTGTAACTAGCACCAGCAGCGTAGGGACCGCCGTTGGGGGGTCCTGATACGTGCTTTTGTCTGGGGAGACGATCGAGATCGTCGGCTGGCATTCGACGGCTCCGATGGAAAGCGGGCCGAATCTAATCAAGATCTGCTGTATCTGTCAACCAATACAGGTACGGACGCCGCGGGTGACTCCTCCAGCTACTTTAGGCGGACGGGACGGGAAGCTGCGAGCAATGTCTCTCGCGTTCTCTCAATCCATGACCCGCAACTGTCTCGCCCTTCGCCCTGCCTACCTGCCCGCCCGCCCGTTCAAATTTGAAATGTCGCTCCTGCCCAAGGAGCCGTTCCGGCCGCGCTCCCTTTCCCGCTCGATGATGGACTTGTTGGAGGTTCTTTCACTGGCCCCGCTCTCCTCCCCGCCTCCCTGGACCCGACCCGGTATTCCAACCGTCAGTGATGCCGCGGGTCGGGTTTAGGGTCATCTACCACGAAACCGGTTCGTGCGTGAAATTTTCGGGGGCCTCGGTTGTTTGACTTCGACGCCCGAACTACGACGTAGAGAAACGGGAGTAATGAATGAATGCTCCGGGAACTATTTGAAGGTGATCGGGGATCCCGCGGCCGATATCATTTCCGGATCGCCGGATTTTACGGGCAGTCCTTTTGTACATATCTCCCCGGCTTCTTGAATATTCCTCTACATGATAGAGCTGATCTTGGGACTCTCAACCTGCTGTCAGTTGCCATCAGTAACCGTTGGTACCGCCTGGGGTTGCCTCTAATTCTCCGAATTCCAGTAATTCGTTGTCTTCTTGTGCGAGACAAAGATATTCAAGAAGTCTTAAGTGGGCAATAATCAGCTCGGACGACGTCCGTGATGCTGTCCCTTCGCTGACGTCGTAGCCAAATTGGAGGCGCGACCTGACCGTCGGCAGTCCTTGGCGAGCCGGGTAATGGCGATCAAAATTAGCCGCCGTGTCCCTTGGCGGACACGGGGTTCGGAAGATGCCGATGCCAGATCGATTGGTCATGCCTCCAAATTGGCGACGACGTCAAGGGATATTGCCTTACATGGGACCTGGATCTCAACAGTCCCGGAGCAGTCAATAGTAAATGGAGCCTAAATATGACCGCGTTATGTAGATGCATGTGCGAGAGAATTACCAAGTTGAGGAACAGCCGCTTCTTACAGTGAGACAGCGTCGGCAGCGGTTGGAAAGGTCCCGGGAACATGGTCCAGGATTCGGATCGCAGACCGGCAGGGAGAGAATGCTGGCAGACGCCAGTTCAGCGAGTAGGTCATTATTGCACCGGCGGGTGAGAAGCCGGCGAACTTCTCATCCCTGCGCGGCTCTGATCTGCGCAGCAGTTCGGTTTCCCATTAGGCCGTCATGCACCAGGCATGCGTCGTGTCCCAACATGTGCGCTTCGGTGCGGCATACCGCGCGGCTCGGTTTCTCCGACTTCGGTTGCTCAATTTGCGTCCGGCTGTGCGCGCATCTACAGCCCTGCTCTCTGGCGCTTCTTATTCCGAACCTTGAAGCGGAAAAGGTCAATTTTGTTAACAGCGATTCTGCTTCTTCTATGATCCTGGTGCACGTTCTTATACAACGTATCGCTTTGCAACAACATCCCCTCTTGTGTCACCATGGTGCGGCTGATTTTCATTCCGTGCCAACCCCGATGCTTTATACATATTTTAATTCCTGACGTTTCTACTGTGATGAGTCCTTGATGTCACATGATCATGACGAAATTGATGTGATTGGAAATATGTTCATACTCCTGTTCCCAGGGTCTTTTCCGTCTTTGGAGGAAATTCCGGGCTGGAAATTAGAACCCGCTAAGCCAGTGAAAAGGAAAGGTAGTAAGCTGCGGGAAAATGCTGAAAACTCAAGAAGTCAAAGGGATTGTGAATAGATTCTTTGTATGTATTTATGTGCATAAGACCGTCGTGAAGGAAGAACTTGTCGTCCCACACGTTCTGGACTTCATCACTGGCCCTGTTCCTTGAACAACATCCTTCTTCCTCTAAGGAATCTTGAAACGCATCATGAATTTCATGGCAGCGAGCTCGAACAGATCTTGATAATGGAATTTATGACCACATTTCGTTCCAAATATTCAACGGAAGCGGTTGAATCGGTTGAAAGGACCATAGAATTATTGTTGCGCTATCACAGTAGTGTTTAGTTGTACTTGCCTCCGAATATGTTAATCCAAAGTCTGAGCAAGGAATTTCGTGATCTGCGTTATGTATATTTAAAGCTTTGTTTTTTCAAGCTCCTTAACTATCAATATCTACCACATTCAAAGTGCATTGTATGCTCCACCACGATTTAAGCCTTAAAGAAATATGCAAAATAGATATCTTCGGTTATCTTGATTACTTAAGATAAATAATTTGGTAGGATAAATTATCGTGCACAAAAAATGTTAAAAATCTTGACAATTGATAAAATTTAAGTAGATATTAATTTTTTTGGACATAATTCACCTATGAGGTTTTTCCTTTGTAAATTATTATTATTAAATGTAAATACATAAATATTTACATATATTTACTTAATTTTAATAAATTTTATATTTTACTGATATACTTATTGAACCTCTTCAAGAATATTTATTTTCCAATATTCTTCAATGATGAAGTGAAAAAATTAAAGAAATGTTTTCCTTATATAAAAACTTTATAAAGTATTTTGTAATCTATATGTTCATTATGAACATGATTCAGAAGTTCTTCATAGTTCCAAAAGAATGAATGTATAGAATGAGACAGAAAGATTCAAGATTTGTTTTTTTGGAGATATGATACCAAGCTTCGTGAACATTTAATCAACCATGCATACATCTACTGGATTTTAAAAAGATTTATTGGCAATAAGATTCTCATCTTAGATGGTAAAGAACCCAAATTTGATAAAATTATATGTAAAATTCAAGAATTCATAAAATTGAAAAAAATAAGAAGAAATATTAAAGTAAATTAAAGAGATAAAGTCATGTAATTCATATTTATTTTACATTAATTTTAATATTTTCTTTAACTTTGCATCCTAAAGTCTTCATGATGCAGATCTAAAAACCGAGATGATTGGGAGTCTACAACTTGTGTTACACACACAACTATGTTCTTTTTTAAAATTAAAGAAGATTATTAACTTTAAAAACATCGAGTACTATTTTCAACAAGAAAAAATCTGCTCAAATTGGTGCATTGTAAAATGAATGTTTGATGTTGCATTCTTTTATAACATGACCATCCTGAGTATTCCAATCAAATAACTCAACATAAATCAAGATATGCATGATTCTTTCAGTCCACTTGAAAGTATCAACCATAACTCTTTCCAAGTTATCATAATTCTTCCAAATTCATATATGATACATTTGACATGGTTATATCACTCGTGAAATGTTTGTTGGTGCATTTCTTTGATTCGATGACCATCCTAAAAACACAACAGTGAAATTGAAACGCTGAATCTCCTGCCTTGCATCAGAGTTTTCATGCCTTGTTAAATTATCGCTAGTTATCTTGGTAATAAAATTCAAATGACCTTTCAATAGATTGCTGCATATTGTTTAATTCAAATATTTGACCATGTCAAATGTATCGCTTATGAATCTGCAAGAATGATGATAACTTGCAAAGAGTTATTGTTGATACTTTCAAGTGGAATGACAGAATCATGCATATCTTGACACTTGCTGAGTTTATTGATTGGAAGGCTCGTAACTATGGCTTGGATATCTCAACTTGTTGCATAGGTATTTGAACAGAATGTGTGATCACAAAATAAGTTGTTTTGATGTGGGTGTTTCTAGACGGATAATGAACGCTGTTGGAAGAGACTTTAAAGCCCAAATAATTAATCAGATTGAACTGTGCCACCAGTAATCAACTTCTTGTGAGATTGATTTCGGATGAAACAAGCCTAGACTTAGGTGAAATATCTAGAAACTTAATCATTTATCCAGCACTTATAATTCTTCACATCTCAAAAAGTGGCGTACGAAACATAACGATAATGTTTTTGTACGTGTAATAGAGAATTGAATTGACTAGAAATTATACATCAGGTGCTCCCTACATTTTATCTCAATCTGTGTAATCTATTTGGTTCCACTCTCCTTTCTATTCGATATTTCACATTCTATGCGGAGAAGAATCGTTAACAAACCTTTACTCACATACATTAAAACATTCATGGTTTCGATTCTTATAGTTCGTGTAAAACATCTATCTCTGGAAGATAATGACGGGAGTTTTCTTCCCAAAAATATTAGTGAGCCATGTTTTTTTAGTCTTAGAGCCTCGCCCTGGCCCTAGTTTTTGGGGAATATCTTCGATCGATGATACCTCAAAAAATATCATATCCAAAGGTCCTGATGTTTTCATAGGATCTTCGTAAATCGACAAGCTTTTTTCTATATATCCGCCTTCTATTTCGAAAGCCATGACCCAGCAGCGCCACTAATTTGCCGAAATTGCTGAAACGCTGGAATGACTTCTACACGATAAGATTTCCAGAAACGATGCATAGTATATAATCGCTAAAATGTAGAGAATATTAGAATTGTAAACTGTGTTGTGAATGGAAATAGACTTCGTCAGTGATGTCATTTCTGTATATCCTACTGTAACCGATGAGTAAATAGGAAGATGTTAAAGAAGGTGTTCATGAATGTGAACTAACCCGGTCAGTCTCACTTCCAACATGTCAATTCATTTGGACACTAGACGTGGGGATATTCTGTATGCAATACTGCCATTCGTGTAATTCTCGAATATAGCCTGCTAGCCATCAAAATCAAATACAATTATGTCTAAGAGGTGAGCTCATTAAGCTCAGACAATGTCAAAGGCCTTTCCAACAATGCTTTAAAACAACAGATGGCTCGCTAAGGTAATTCTACCCCTTCAGATTGGGTTAGCTAGAGGCAGCTCTAACAAACTACGTGATTCATCACAAGGTAAGGAAAGCTCTCAAGATGGTCAGTTCTTATAAGAGATAACACACAGAGTAAACAAAACGACAGACCGGTGAAACCACAGAAGCATCTCGCGTTTGAGAATTATTGAATCGGAAGAGCTTGGAGCACCATCAACCAATCGCAAAAGTAAAATATTTACTGGTTATCGAAGATATTTTGTATGGAAGATTCACGGAATGAGAGGCACGATGAGATCACATCCACCAAGGTACAAAGCAAAAGCCAAGGCAGGCTAGGTGAGACCCAGGTCCACAAGAAAAGGGCAGAGCTAATTGCTCGTGTTAAGTCACTGTGTCTCCTGCATGCAGATCGTCCATACGGATGATAACAAGAGGTCTACAACAACCATCACCAATCGAGACTATCTTTCTCTCAGAGGCAAAGGCTAAAGCAAGTTGTAAAGCAATGCATATACACTTTATAAAATACTGGATGCAATTAATAAAAGATACATGTGCCCCACTACATGATAAAGAATATCACATTTCCTAACAAAAACCGTCCATATTTTGTTCACGCACTCTCTGCTTCTCCACATCATCAAGGGGTCAGTAGAACGAAGACATGTCCCTCATGCAGTACTAAATCCTTGCGGATCTCAACAGCAGCGCTGTGATCCACATAACCTTGAGGTTTGTGTGTAATGACGTCGGTGGCAAAATCGAAAAGTATGCACTAATGGAAAGATCAGCCTTTGAGAATGTTGAGTTTTATTCTGTACTTTGATATTTGAGCGTCTATAATAAAAGATAAGATTCTTCTGGATGACATGAAATACATAAAAAGCTTTGGAGATTAGCTAAATTTTTGTCAATATAAGAGCTCGGCAGATGTTTCATAAGAAATTTAAACATGAATGACGATCTTTATTAACTCTTGTATACACGATCTAGACATAACCCTCCTTGAAATGCACTCGACGAATCAAAATTTCATCCACTACTTCCAGATATTTATGTACAAGGAAGATCCAGTGGGCAGGTTTGATATACATGTGCCACATAGAAATTCAAATTATGTGGTGACATGCAAATAAGGATTTAGTCTATAACAACCCAGGTATGAGCAACACAGGAAACCCATAGCAAAAGTCCAAGTACTCTGATATTGCACTGCATGGGCCATCCTAGCCTTCCACAGCTCTTATTCGTTAGACAACAAATCGGTAGGTCACATATCGTCCTGCTGTTTCACTAGGTCGTATAATTTTGACTACTTGACCCCTCTTCAATCCATAATACCGTGATACTGGATCGTTCTCCTGCATCCTGGGCAGCTGTCTCAAACATAAAACCATCTCTCATTAGTATATGAATATGTGGCTTGATAATTTCATACACCCATTGACCACAACGCTTTCACATTTCTGAAAGAAGTGACGTTTCATTCTATCCTTCAGCTCATAAACTCTGCCGTTGCAACTAATTTATTGTAATTATTCTGGTGTAAGAAAAAATTGTACCTGTGTTTCTTTGACAGTGTATCTCTCCAAAAGAGTTCTCTTTTCTTCTGCTGTGAGCACCTGATGCTCCGGAACTAGAACATGCTCTTTGATGTTGACCAGCAATTCTGCCTCCTGTAGGGCCAGAAAAGCATCAGGTCAAAGATATTTGCAAATTGGATAGGCTCGTCAACATTCAAAGTGGGGCCATAAAAAACGCAGCCTAAGGCAGAACTCGATCTGGATGCCTAACAACAGCTATTAGAACCAAAAAAAATGTAAAACTAAAAATCGTATGATTAGCCCAAACACATCATTCCGTGAAGACGTAAATACACAGCAGCAACGTTAGCAAGGGTAATACCAACAATATTCTGTGCACACTTTCGAAGTTCACATTATTATTTTTTCAGTCTCATCAACCTAAGGAGACAATGAGAGCGGGTCTCCTGGAAGAAATAACAATACACAAAATCTTGAGTTCTTCTATAAAACTAATGAATTGAAGATCCGAACTTCATGAAATGCTCAAATATATCATAGCCTGCATCGTTGGCACTTCGAGAGCAGGCTAAGAAAATATTCATAAGCATTTATACGGTGTCGAGCTTGATTTTAAGGGCATGGATCATTAAAAGCACCATATTTTGGCCCGCATTATCCATAAAAGAAAGCACATACTAAAAGAACACGTGAAGTATACCTGAAAGACCTCCAGATGATATTTGCTTGACATTTCACTAACACACTGTCTGGCAAAAGGAGTTAAATTTTGTTGCACAATTAGTATTGCGCGTGTCACACTTTCGGCCTTCATGCGTTCTGCGTATGTCTTTATTGTCTTCACTCCCACCTTGGCCTCCTCAGGAAAGAACACGAAGATCTGGTTCCAGCAGACCGATCAACCACTTATTAAAGAATGTCAGAACAACTTTCTATATCTAACCTTCTCTTGGAGATAAGCTTTAGATTTCACGAAGCACGAGACCGTAGACATATGTACGACAGCAAAATCATCAACAAACATACTGCTATCCAAAATGCAGTTGGTGTAATTAATGTCTCTACCAAAGACTGAAAAGAACGCCCACATAACATTGTTAAAGTTGATTGTACACCCATTGGTTTCAGATTATAAACTACACTCTAAAATCAATATATGATGTATAGAAAGAACTGCAAACACAATTTCAACAGTAAGTTAAAACACTTGCCAACCACGAAAAACCTAGTCAGTGGGAACATGGTTATAGCACATTCTAAAATACTTACGTACAAAGGTTTATGATGTGTTCCTCCTCACTGAACTTACCATCGATAGAACTACTTTCCCTAGACCGCTACAGTTATAGACATGGTAAAGTGCTACTCAGTAAGCAAGAAGAGTTCACCAACAATGGATGACTCTGGTATGAAAATCAGTGCAAAAAGTAGACACACAAAAGTGTCCAAAAACAGCTATACAGAATACTAACATATTTGACAATTAAGAAGACTAATCGTCGGTCAGCTCGTGATTTAAAGTAATTCATGCTAAGACAGGGCGACAGGAGCAAATTGAAGGTAGATGAGACGAGTCCCACTGAAACAAACTTCTTCTAACTGATTATCTTGATTTTCCGAAAAATACAGACAAAGAAACCAGTGAAACAATGCGGGAAAATGTAGTGACCTGCTCATTAGGGTTACTGCGTTTTGTCTTGCGGAGAACAAGATCCTCCCGCTTTGGCTCATCACCATATTTCTCTCGAAAATGATCTTTAGAAAGCGAGAGTTCAACATCCGCTACTACATACTCACGGTCTCGCAACATCTGCATCACCGTGCGCCGAATTCTATACAGCCGTGTGCTTTGTTCATCGAGTTGTTGGGTGGTCGACATCTCTCACTCTCCTTCGAGCTGTGTGATCGAAACTATCGCGTCAGTGACGGTAGAATCCCAAGAAAGACATTACTTTAAAATACAGCTGGAGAAAGTAAGAGAATTGTAGGCAGAGGTCAGCTCAAACAAACAGACCACTCACAACCATTCGTCGTCCGTACGTCAAGCACATCAATCTACAAGTTTCAATCTAAAAGCTGAATGCAATAGAAGGTAAGTACCACAGCAACGCTGCTCGAGGGCTCCTCTGGTCCGAGAGCCGATTCGAATTGGTGTCCGACGGCTTGGTTGTCAAATCGAAGACAGGGGACACAAATATGGAGATGGACCGAGGACTCACAGTCATATCTTTCTCGTTTGTAGAACTCCCCACGAGCATTTCGACCCTTTCTCGTCCGCGCAAAGTCCTCAGCGTTGCTCGTAACGCCGGTCGGAAGACATCCGTCTCAATGACGGCAGGCACCACCTCCGTCGGAGGGAGAGCTCAGAGGACACGTGTTAGGACGGGGTTGGCAGGTGAGAGATGCGGGGCGAATCCAGGTTCTGTCTCCGTTGCTTAAACCCTCAAAGCTTTCCCGGTTTCAATCGCCTTCTCCGAACCTTTAGGATCCGGTTCGGAGGAGGCAAAGTTCTCCATGCTTCTATTTTCCTAATGATCATGTGATCAATTCTTATGCACAAAAATTCCACATCATTCTCTTGTCCTTGATAAAAAATCAAGACACATTTATCTTTATACCACATTGTTCCTACTTCAACAAAGACTTTTTCATTTTTAATCAAACTTATGCATGTCAAGTTGGCATCAATAGAAATTTGAGGCTTCCCAATATTAACTTATATTTTGATGACAACCTAGATTACAAAGATAAGTTTGGAGTAGTTTGTGTTGAGCACTAGCTGTCTGTAAGAATTAAAAAATATTATGTCTCTGGAAATTATAAGGAGAATTACTCCTAAAAGATACAAAAATTGATTAATTTATTTAATTAATTTTTAATTATTAAAAGATCCAAAGAAATGATGAAGCACATGTAAAAGATACCACAATTTCAGATTTAATGAAAATTGTGAAACTTTTAATGTATTCCTGAAAGTGAAATGTTGGCATGTAAACTTCTTTCGAAAATTTTTGCTACATGATCTTTGTGTATTATATATCCCAAACAGCGATTGCACATATAATTAAAAGGATTGATAAAAAAAAAATTATTTTCTTTTTTAACATGCTGTAGTTTACTCTTTTACATGTGTGTACAGTTCTGTACCATACAACAGAATGCTCCGATCATTGCAATAGAAGTTGTTTGTTACATGCAACATCTTCATTAATGATCGTACCTTTCTGTGATGATGTTATAGAGAAAGATGATCGGTAGCGTCTACCAATCATGTCTATGGATATGCATTATAAACAAAAGTTGAAAGGTGAAATAAAAGTTCAAGCAAACAATGGCATGTATCGATATGAAATTTTGTATCTTTCAGACACTCTTATATTTGATTTAAAATCAACATCTTCTTCATGCAAATGAAGTAATGCGCAATTTAGATGTATCATGTTCAAATTACATATTATTGTTATGAAATGAGGTAGATATTAGTTTTTTTTCTTCAATCGATTTATGCATTTTCACTTTGGATATTCTTTTGCATTTCAACCATTTTCCAACATGTAGCATTAGTTTCCAATCCAAGAACCACATGAGAAGCCCTCCAATTATATGAAGGAAAATTATTACTTGATCAGATGAAAGTTTTTTGAGAAAAATAATCTGTTCCTAGACTTATCTCTTTTCGAATATGGCAAAGGTTAAGCAAATGGATGATTTTCATCAGTATCTATACTGCCATTATTTGAAATGTAGAATATGAGAGTGATATGATTCCCTACTGAACTCAACACATGATCATTTAACTTTATTGAAGAATTTGCTCTATGTTTTTCAATCATGAATATAATTTGAACTATTTATTTACAAATTATCGTTCCTTAACAGAGTTAGTTTAAGACTACATGCATTGTGTTTTCTACTATATCCACTTTTCCTCTGAAATTAATCTTCTAACGAGCAAGTATGTTACATGTATGTAAGAGGAATATTATTTTCCCATAACTAGCATCAAAGAGAAACTTGAGATATATTCTTACAAGTGACACGTATAAAGCAAAGTTCATGGTGTATTGTCGACGTAGAATTGTGCGTCGTTAGTCGTTCACGTCCAAGTTCATCGATTAGATCCACATAATCAAATTTAAAGTACATATGGCTTTCACTGTTTGTAATAGTGATTTCACGAGGACAACGAAGTGATTAAGGGGCGTTTGTAGTTCTAGAGACCCAATCTTGGAATAGATGCATTGGTTGAGGGACCAATTCCACAATTAAATCTCCAAAGCTTTCTAGCCAGACGTATTCATAACTTTCAAAATATCTCGTAGAGAAAAGGATCGCTGTTCTTTTGCTTACAGTGTACCGACACATATACAGCATGATATTTACTTAATACTGTTTCTTTTCAATCATGCTAATGGACAAAATATGGATACATGATTGCTAAAAGACCTCCTTGGAAACAGTTTTCGTTGTTGAAGAATTTCTAAGTTGGAATATCTGAAATATGTTGGTAGTAGACAACTTCATTTCGTGATGGTCTCCCCCACAGAAATTACTAAGAAAAGTGTACTGATACACTGATATACTCATCCTTAAAATCCAGAAACAAAACATATCAACACAATCCGTACTCATGCACGAATCCAACATCCCATGGCCATTGAAAACTCAACATAATGAAACAAACATCTGAAGAATCATGACACTCATCGACAAAAACTTTCCAAACAAATTTAGTACATTTCTCAACCGACGTTACATCTCCATCAACTCAGCTTGGCTCTTTCATACATGCCCGTAGATACTCAGTAGAACATTAGGCCGACTCTAACTTCATTGATATCAGTGGATTTTGATCTCCCACATTGTCAATTAATTAGAAGGTCAAGACAAACCTCCTGTAAACCACACTAGCAGTAGCCCTCTCACCTCATACGAAACGTTGATAATCTACAAAACTTGTTAGAAATCGATTCCTTGGTGCGCTTAAGTTAACCAGCTTTCTTCCCTTCAGATCAGGAAGTCAAAGCTCTCAAGGCGTCGATCAAATGTGGCCTCTGTTGAAACTAGGAATAAAAAACCCAGCCGGGGCACGGTTTGACTTTTCCACGGAGTATCTGTAAACTTGAGTAATGAACACTGGGAGAATCTGTTACAAAATCTAAAAGGCTGAAGGAGTGATGACATCGTCTATCTTTAATATCATCTTAACCACCTGCGTGGCCAATTGAATCTGTTGCTTCTTGCCTATCAAGGTCTCGAACACGTTTTGCTGCTGCATATCGTTCGTACCCACATCGTTGCAGTCTATTCCCAAATACGGATTGTTCTCCTGAACAACCGAAGTACACACTTTCAGGCCCTTGTAGACAGAATTGAAGTAGAATAAGAAATCTAGGCTGCACGAAGACGTAGAATAAAGGATCTTCTATGGAAAGGGATGGCTTACCTTGACTTGTTGAGCCTTGACGGCTGTCAGAGTATCAATAGGTTGTAGTCCACTGTTCTCAGCCAGGGCCATAGGAACCGCGTCCAGCGCGTCAGCGAAAGCACGCATGGCATACTGGTCAATATTGCAACAGGATCGGCGTGTTAGAGACTTTCTATGGAAAGAACATCAAAAGTTCCGAAGAGGCCAGGCAGCCTATGGTTCTATCTTGTATGGAGGCGTGAACGGAAAGAAATACTGAACAAACCTGTTCTACTCCTGGAATCTTGTCAGCAGCCGCTTCCACCGCGAGAGATATGGCGATTTCCGCGGAACCACCACCATAGACAATTGAGTTGTCACGAATCAAATTTCGAGCAACACACAAAGCATCATGTACACTCCTCTTTGTCTCCTCGATCATCATCTTGTTACCTGTAGTATTTCGTGACCATGTCAAAATACATGACGGAAACCAAACTTACACGTATGCCAGATACAGTCCGCCGGACCTGCCGTTACAGTCCATCTTACTTACTAATACCTTGTGTAGGAAACGGAGTACAGGAAAAGGAATGGGCTAAGAAGCAAATGATATCTTTTCTAGACGCAACAAAACTACCTCGTAGTAAAACCATCACAGTGAAGATTACTCACTTAGCCCATTTATTTCCTGGAAAATTGTTCCTATCATAAAGATTCACCGAGGCAATAAGAAATATCCAACATCCAGTTAGAAATGCTATACCTCCACGGATGAAAATAGTTACAGCCTTCGAGTTGGCGCACTCCTCAATGTAGAGCATACGGTCTTTGGTTGTTCCAAAGGACTTTTCCCTCACCAGCCCAGCCTTTAAAAAGACAATCAACCCTCGACCCTTAGAAGCGTGATCAAACTTAACACACTCACCAAGTAACGCTGCGACGAACCTTGTCTGCTAACTTCAAGATTCTAAATTCTCTTTATCCTCCCTAAGAGAGTCCAACAGCGAGTGCAATTTGATCAAGAGCTAAACCACACGTGAACAGGTCGGAGTAAGACTTGAAATATGGAGTTTGGTCCATACCTTGCCAAGCTTGTCAGCTGTAAGTTCCTGAAATCTTGGTACAATCCGCCCACCTGAAAATGGGCGAGCAATTAGACAAGCAAGTTTTCAAAAAAAACCTTCCAGCAAGTTACACATTTTAAAGGAGCGACTATAATGAGTAGACTGATAATTACGACAGACGAGCGAAGATGCATCTAATAAACCTCTTGTGGCTTTCTTATCTCTAGTTCTACTGCTACAATTTTCCTGCTACTAGTTAGCGACATACGAGTACGATTACAGTAATTCACCAACCTGTAGCTATAGCAATCAATTCGAGTTCGACTCCTCCAACCCATCGGACGGCAGGTAAACCACGGTGCATCAGCAAGTGATTGGCCTCATCATCAAAACCCCACTGGCATATTACGAGAGTAGCACCGACATCCTGCGACATGCGACATGTAGTCAGCACGAGCTGTCCTCTTCTAGTGTGATTGAAACTTCTTATCATCCCAACTGTATTCCGAAACAGGCTAAGCTCATACAGCTCAGAATACATTAGAAGTCTGATCCAAATATGCACCCAAAAACATCGCTGCTCTGATCAACGGCAGAAGAAGTTACAAGTGTGGTCATACCTTGCACTGCTGTACCATATCGTCAAAGTACTTCTTCTCCTGCTCCCTGAGAGCTTCAAACTTCTCGACTGAGTCAATATCCACTTTGTGCTTAGTCTTAGGCTTCGGGGGCTCAAACGGACACGTCAAAATCGCAATTTTTGCATCCTCAATGTGCTTGGGCATTTGAGGATGGCTCATGTCCTTGTCTACTACAATACCGTAGACCAGCTCTGTGTCCTCCAGACGTCCACCCACTTTACCCTCCACCTTGATCAAGTCAAGGTTCACATCCCTTCTATCCAAATCAGCGACGGCAAGTACAGCCTTCACGGCAATCTCTGCCAAGTCTCTTTTGCATCTTCCCACTCTGCAGATGATGAGTTAAGTATCAGCTTAAATTCCTAAGCGGAGAACAAAAGACAGAAGCAAAATCTCTTTTTTCAACAAAAATGAAGACTATTCGAAATTCGAAAATTGCAACAAGGGCAGATGAGTTCTAACTTACATCTTGGAAGAGAGCGTGGTCATACAAGTCTGAACCAGGGGTTCGAAATTAAAGATGTCATACTCAAACTTGGTCGAAATTTTAGTAAGAGTGTCCACGGCGATCTTAGATGCCATTTCATAACCCTCAGCTACACGAATAGGATGAATACCCCGCTCAAGCAGAACCTCTGCTTGCTCTAGGAGAGCTCCAGCTGTAACTACTACACCTGTTGTTCCGTCGCCAATTTCGTAATCTTGACTTCTAGAGAGCTCTACCATAAGTTTTCCTATCTGGTTTTCAACCTCCATCTGTTCAAGGATAGTTGCTCCATCGTTTGCTGCCAACAAAATAAGTAATCGTACACAATGAGACTACTGTCTTGCAAGAAAGAAACAGATCAGGAGACGCCACAGCACAATTCGACAATTCGATAAATCACCACTGGGAAGTCTCCCTCGTATGGTTTATACAAGGAGTAAGAGAACGATCAAATACCTAGACGTCGATTCAAGCAAAACACTGGGTTCTAGTAGGTAGTTCCCAGAGGTGTGAGAACCCAAAGACGTAGGCTTAGGAGACATCAAGAAGCACAGAAGATTGAACATGTCTAGGACTTTTGCAAATTTTCTTAACAGAAGCCTCCGTTGAGAAGGTGTAAACAAACAAATAAAAACTATATGACAGAAAACCGTGAACATGTTCTTGGATTTTTAACAACCCTGGGTTCCCAATACTGTCCTGCTTGACAAAGATCGACTATTATCCAGAACATCCAAGGTCTAAAGAATAAGAACAGCACAATTTGATGAAAAATGAGAGATTACAACCCATAAATACTCGAACAAGAACGATCTGCACTAGATCCCATCTAGAACTCAAGGCCAGCAATATGAAGTATCACGCAGAAAACAGAAACAAAAATTCGCAGCAAGTTCTACATTGACCAATAGACACAGAGGAGCTGTGCCGAGGTCACTTCCAGACTGTTCTAAAAGAGAACTGACTCTTTGACTAACTCCGATGAGAGCAGGCACGGGAGACTCAAGGCCGACGTAATGTCGAAAGACTTACTGATCGTCACATCACCATCGGAGCTCTGCAGCATTTTATCCATGCCCTTCGGACCGAGAGAAGTGCGCAGGATCCGGGCAACAGACTTGGCAGCCAGAATATTGGCCTTCTGCGCATCTAATCCGCGAACTCTGGACTTCTGTTCCTGCTCTCGTATAATGATGAACGGCCTACCATACTCATCAAAGGCGAGCGCCATTGCGGATCCCCACGCGGGACTCCAATCTGCAGTCTTTCGGTCGATGCGCGCGAACGATCAATCCATGCACCCCAAGACCTAATCGAACGAAAAGAAGCTGCCACGAGCTCCCAACGAGCAACAATTCTCTGCTTCGTGCAACAACACCAACAACAACCTGCGACTCGACTTTGCCTTCCCGCTCTCCTCTCCTCTCTGCTCGTCTCGTCTCTTCTCTCCCGCCGCACAATCTCGGCGCCCAATATTGGAGCCCGATATAGGGTTTGCTTGTTTCGTAACGACGCTTCGTCCTTCTCGCGAAATATATCAGAACCCAATTTACTCCCATACTGTAACTACTACTGCAGTCTCTGTGCTGCCAGCTTTTAGACCTGGTAACAAAAGAAAGATGCAGTAGACCATTCAACGCACTTCTCCGTAGACCCACGTCTACGGAGAACTGCGGGGTACTTAGGGCCTCCGCTGCCCTCTATGTTTACAGCATTACATCTTTTCGAATTCATCTGTCTCACCAATACCTCTCGTGAATTTTGTGCAAACTATAAAGTTTCTGGCAGCCACATGTAAATCAGAACAAAGGAATTACGCACAGGATTATAAACATCGACGATGCATGTTTACTTGGTACTTTTTCTTCTTTTTTCACAGTATTTTTCATAGAGATTTTATCGGCTTATGCTTTGGAATTTTTGAAATTTATGAGAAAGATCTAAGCTCGTGTTTGGCTTGGGAAGATTCTTCCAAATGTGAGAAATATGTTGTGGAAGTGTAACGATCTAATATATAAACCTATAAAAGTAGAGATCTTTGTGTAATCTGCTACAGTACAACTTAACTTGATCAAGTCTGCATACCAATATACCTTTAAACATACCGCTATAATCGACTGGAATAACACGGAACGGAGGACCTTTCGGACTCAAATTAGTAAGTCATGCTTTCTCAACCCATCACTTCCACCAGCAAGAAGTCGCTCTGAGATCATAATACAGCATGCTTCACATAAAGTTGTTCTAGCCTTGTTCCACTACAGAACAAGGTTTTATTGTATTGTCGTTAAACAAAGTAAATCATGTCGCAATTCAGGTTTCATAAGCAACATTACGAGAATTTTATGAGTAAGAACTTTGCAACCCTAGGTACTCGAAACTTCCTATCAAATAAAGTACAATGAAATTTTTGCATTGTTCTTACACTTCAATGAAGTATGTACATTAACTCTTATATTTTCAAATTGAATAGAAATTGCTCACCTTAGCATACCCAATGAATTTAATATGACATACAAAGCAAGTTGTTCAAAATTTTAATTACACTTTCATCCACAACACTTTGGATTTTCTATATTGCAAGTGTTTGAGATTATTTTGTTGTACATTAAAGCTTTTTGATGATATACAACATTTTATTTTTGTTTTACCTGCATTTATCTCTAGATATCACAAGGATGTTGATGGATCTATATCAATATTCATTATTTTAATGTTCACTATTTTTTAATGAACAAAATTTTCACCTGAAAAACTAAGTGTTTTGTAATTTTTTCTTGGTAATAATAGGAGTATAAATTGGAAAATATTAATTATAGTGTCTCACACAACAATGTTGATGTCAACTAATTATTATTTTATTATGTTTTTTCCACTGTTAAACTATTATTCACATATTGTGATATATTTATATAGATTGTTAGACCACCGAGCTTCATTATGTCTACTCCTGGGTATATGATTTAGTGATCTTGATGCTTTCTTATTCATTTGTAGTTGCAATTTGATCGCTTAAACAACTAACCATAGTTCTGTTACATATTGACTACATTTTCACCTAAAATGTCCAGAGTAATCATATGTAAAATGTACCTTTAGTAGTTTTTCTCAACTTGTCTATCTTTCATATGTGATCAATTTCTTCATATATGTTTTTATCATGCATCAATATGCTTCATAGATGAGTCATGAGCATATATATATATATTCATTCATCTATCACGCATATTGATGCTAGATAGATGATTCATAATAAAAAGACATATGAATGTTTCTAGCCTAAATTTGAATAGGTGATATGAAAGTTTGCATAAAACCAATCAGTTTTGACAATTTCAAACGAATGTATTGGTGTAGTATAAAGTAAATATATGCACTGTATGATTTTTGTTCATTTTACTGCATCATAACGATGATTTTTAGTGTAAAATTTAACTTGATCATTTTTCCGCATGAATTAAAATCAAAGTAGATTATAAAATTACAATGATATTGTGACTATCTTTAGTTATTAACATCAAAGTAGGGATGATTCAAAGTTGAGTAAAGTACATTATACTTAAATATCATTGTTCATTAATACTCCATAAAAACATGGAAGCATGATGTAAAAAATGCTTAGCAGCAAATAATATATTGATGTTCACAAAATTTGAATATTTCTATAAATGTATTATTAATGTCTGTTCAAATAGTTTAAAATTCACTAGTTAATCAATATAATTAAATATTGTAGTTGCGTTGTTCTGAAATTTAGACAAATTTGTGATATTGAGAAGAGTATGTTTAATAATGTGTAAAAATCCTAATTAGCTCAAGTTCCAATATTTATGTCTATCTCATATAAATATATGCAAGGATTCCTTTGATATGAAAACAAAATTTAAACATACGACATGGTATTTTATATAATGTCAAGACTATTAAAGAATTGATATAGTTAAATCTGATAAAATTTATAATTTTTCTTAATTGATATTGAAATTTTAATATAAGTTGAAAATTTGGAATTAATCAAGATGATAAAGGCCTATATATTATGTTTTCAATGACTGTTGAAAGGTTTCACAAATATACTTTTGTGATGTGAAATCTTTACATTTGAAATTTTTTTAAGTGGATGCAATTTAAAATAACAAAATTTGATGTGAAGATATAAGATATTATCGATGACTTCTGTGACATAATTTTTTATTTATAGTGTTGCAAACAAATTGACAACAACAACAAATGAAATTTGTTGACATCATATATATATATACATAATTATATTTACCACAGTTATTATTTTATTGCGATAGACAAACAAACATTTATTTTATGTTTATAAATTTTGTAGATTTTAATGATATAAAACAATAAAAAGTTTCAGTACCTTATTGTCAGCAGATATGACTGTGATTTTTTATTGATCATATTGAAGAATTGTAAAATCCAAATGGATATTTGAAATCAAAGATAAATAAAACCGAAAATTTCAATAAGTAATTAAATAATAATAATAATACGTTGGGAATTTCATAAATGTATTGACTCTACATTTTCTTAGATTTTGTAATATATAATATGAATTATAATTTATTGATCAATATGACTTTTAAGATGAATCTTGAAGAGTATAATTTCCTCAACAACAAGTATGAAAACAAAAATATATTTTCTATCGACTCATACATGCTTACTTAAAGCACATTTATTATTAACAAACAACTTTTTTGTTTCATATCAAACATTGGGGATTGAAATAAATATCATCAATATCAATTTGGACGTATACAAGCATACAATTTGTATACGTTAAAGTGAAATATTATTTAACTAAATTGTTTACTTTTAATTCATTAAAATTAATATTCATACATATGTTTGATGATTTTTTAAATATTTCTCAACAAAATTTATATTTCTAATAAATACTAAAAATATTTTAGAATTAGTTTGAGTTTATGTATGTTTTAATACATAAGCTCAGAACAAAATTTAAATATTTTTTCTAATTATTTATTATATAATAAATCAATGTAAACATGTTTTTATCATACAAATATTTGTTTCAATAAAGAATCATTTTGTCTTTTAGATGTAGATACATTGCATGTGTACAAAGAAATATTAGTTTTTTCAACTTGTAATGTTTTAACATATATTTTGATCTATTGTATTTTGAGTTTCAAATTTGTTCATAAATGATGAAATCTTTCATACTATTAGCTTTTATTATATTGCATCTATGAGGATCATATTCGATTCATTTATATTATAGTTATTCTGATATGAATGACATTTATTGTAAAAACACATCATAATTTGCATTGCAGATCAATAGTTATAACAAATCATTTCAAACAAATTAGATATAACATTTTGTTTATCAAGTGATTGTAGAATTAATATTTAAATTTAAAATTTAATCTAATTTGAAACTTTTAATTTTCACAAGATAATCAACACATGTCAACATGTTCAATTATTACCTTGAAAACAGAAATCAAAATAATATATATGAATACATATTTTAGTTGTTTTTTTAATCAAATTTTAAGACTTAACACTAATTTTGACTACTTGAAAAATTATTCAGCAATTACAAATTTGTATATATCAAATTTTATTGTGACATTTTTGTAGCTTACATTTTAGATCAACATGCAATTAAATATTTAAATAATGCTTTGAAATTTTAAAAATTAAAATTGTATTCAATAATTGAGTTGGTTTTAGTAATAAATTTTTTAAACACAAGTAAAAAAACCATGCGTTTTACTTTAAATATTTTATATCATTCTAAAATTGTGAAGTGAATATATGTTATATATTTTGATAAGATGATAATATATTTTGATGCTCAATTCAATTCTCTAATAAAAAAATGAATTATGCAAAGTTCGTTGCATTTGAATATAATTTGCAATGTGATGGTATTGGTTTTGTTTATGTTACACATTTTGTATTGCACAAAATAAAAATTGTATACATAATTATTTTATTAAATTTATAGTATTTATAAATATTTAGCGTTTCAATGATATCGACCAACATATCAGCATTTTCCCAGTTCCGATTGTTGTCCACTTTCAAAAGTTAAATGAAAAAACTAGATCACGTGCAACAAAATGTAGCTCTTGTTTCCACCTAAGTATTTGTCTAACATGAAAGCAAATGTTTAATAAACCGCTAATTTCAAACTTGTTGCCATCGTTTCTATGATTATTGTCTACCAAGTTTAGGATTTTTTAACATATTTTAGAGAAGAATTGATGCATTTTGTCTAAGGAGCTCGGTCAAAGGAAGATGAATTAGGACAAAAAGAAGAATAAATAAAGATAAATGTTATTGAAAGTGTCCTATCAGAACCAGAGTCAACAAACGAAAGAGAGGGAAAGAACAGAAATAACTAATGCAGTAATAATAAAAGTTGCACTTTTGTAGAATACTGTACATTGAACACGAAATTTGAACAACGTGCAGAGAACTGACAGAGGGGTTGTTCAGAGGAAGAACAAGTCACGTTTATCTTACAGGAGGAAATTCGTGCCTACAGAGGTCAGCGGTCCTCTTCCTCAAGGTTCCTCCAAGTTAGGAGAATGAAATCTTACGGACACTAATACTATCCAGCGAGCTGAACAAAAATTCTTTGAGTATTTAGAGAAACCTCTGTTTTCCCCACTACGCTGCAGGTAAAGAAAACATTAGACCTGTAACCCCAACAGATCGGGCGGAGAACTGAGAGATTCTCCGGTTCCGGAGTCTTGACTCCCGGAAAAGCGGCGAATCCTCTGAGTAGAGGAAATATCCTCCAAATACTTAAGTAGCTTGGTCGAGCGCCATCTTTTGTCCGGATTCTCACACCGAAGCCTGGGCTTCTGCTGCCGCTGCTGCTGTTCCTACTGCCGCTGGTGCCGGTGGCCTGCCCTGCTGCCCTGCAGGCGGTGCCAATCAGTGAGCAATCGCAGAAGATTCAATTGAATACGGAGGACGGGCGTTTTCGATCTGAGTTCTCCACAGATCTGGCGTTACTCAGCAGGAGGAGAGGCAGTTTGAAGCACAGGAAGGGGGTGATATGAATCGAGTGCCACAGCGCGGAACCGAGGTGTCTTTGAACTGAAGAATGGTGCGGAAATCCCGGCTCGTCGTCGTCCAGAGCTAGAAGCGCGCTTATGGGGACACAGAGGAGTGAAGATTCGACGTGCTGACAGCCGGAAGGAGGAGGTGGTTTGAAGCTCGTGCGGTAAATAGGACATGTGGAGATGGTAGCATGCGTGTTCGTGAATATACAATTGTGCAGTAATTTCGTGTGTCGAGTGAGTGGACGAGAGCAGGTCGCATGAAACGATTTTATAATATTAGAGCTAGTAAGAGAAAAGAGAACTCGGAGACAGGGCCGTCGAAGGTGGTGGAGGACGATCTGAATTTTCGTGTGTGAAGGAGTGGATGTTTCAACAGGTGTTTTTGAAGAAGACTCGGGTCTTCTCGCTCATCTCCAGGTGGGATGCCATCATCCCCCACTTTCGGTCGCAAGCTTCCCTTCCAGCGAACCACGTTATGGCATGACAGGGGGTATTCGCGCCAGGCACCATGCAGTCCCCGGAGTCTGCCTCGGGTGCTCTTCGGATGCATCCTAATTTTGCTGATTGCCGTTGCGCTTTTGTTGCATCGGCAGTTGTCGTACAACACTCCGCCGGTCGTGGGCTGTGGAGCAGTAGAAGACACTCTCCGCTCTCTTATTCTGCTACCATCTCCCAAAAGGGTTATGCAAGTCGGTGCTGACAGCACCAAATTGAAAGATGAGCTTCTCAGCGGAAGTACCGACCACGATTCCGTGGACGGAAATTTACTGGTAGAAGGTCCTAGGCCAAAAGTACTTGGGTTTGTGGGAATACAGACAGGTTTTGGTTCTGCTGAAAGACGCAGAGCACTCAGGCAAACATGGTTGCCTTCAACCCAAGATGGAATTGTACGGTAAGATCAGGAATTCATGTCTCTCGTCTTGATTAGCCACATTAGGGAACCAAGAAGGAAACAAATTTTTTTATACAATGATACTGTCTTAAATAATATGAAAAATTGCTTCTTTCACAAGCCTGGCTTTGCTGGATCAGTAAGAGCTAAATGTCTGGTTTTTGTTTGATCTTGCGTCAAATCCCAAAGATGCTCTTTCTCTGGCCGTTGACCCTGGCTTTACAATGGTTTGCAGGCTACAGGAAGAAACGGGTCTAGCCTTTAGATTCATCATCGGTTATACGGATGACCCGAAAAAAATGTTGGAGCTAGAACAAGAGATTGAAATATATCATGATTTTGTTCGCATCGACAATAAAGAAGAGTACAAACGCCTGCCATTCAAAACGTGAGATTCTTTGGCTTTTGATTGTTCATTACTTCTCTGCTGGACTTGTATTACCATTTAGTGTAACTTGCGAAGAATTTTGTCTCGTTTTATAGCCATCTACTGCTTTAGACGTCCAGATTCTGTATTGTTTTGGCTTTCAAAGATCGTTTGCAAGTGGATCTCTGTAATAGATACCGACGTCACTGTTCATGGTGTTCAAACAGGTTAGCTTTTTTTAAGGCAGCTTATCTTCTCTTCGATGCGGATTTTTACGTGAAGGCAGACGATGATATTTATCTCCGTCCTGGTAATCACAGATCCATAGCCAATACATGTTGTTTCTTTGTTGTGCGGAGCTGCAATTTACATATGTTCACGCAAAGCCCAAATTTGTGTTGTGCGATTGTCTTTAGACCTCTCAATAATACTTCAGCCCTGCTAAGAGGTGCGTTATGTTTACATGTTATGTCTACGAATGGTTTTTTCAGATCGTTTGTCAATGCTGCTAAAGAAAGAACGGTCTACACCTCGGACATACTTGGGCTGCATGAAGAAAGGAAACGTGATTTCAAATCCAGCTCTGAAATGGTGAACTCTCTTCGGTACCTACTTTAAAGCTTTGATGCTTCACTTTCAAGCGAGTTGTATTCGGTTGATCGCATCACTTTGAAAGCATTGCATGGATATTCTGTAGTTTAAAAGCACTCTAATTTGTAAAACTACGACTTTTGGCATGGATGACATTTAGGCTATTTATTTCTTACTTGATCTATTGAAAGCCACTGAAAGTTTCTGAACTATTTCAATCTGAATGATAGTCTTGAAAATATGTTGACAGGTACGAGCCTCTTGGTTATTTGCTGGGCAGCGAATATTTCTTTCATGCTTACGGCCCGATTTACGCCTTGTCTCGAACCGTAGTCGCAGATTTGGTGACTTTCAGAAATGACAGGTAACTATTCTTAAATATGGGCATGAAAACTCGGCATGAAAACTCGTCACTGTATTGATTTTCAGAAAATGTAAAAACTTCGTATTCGAGGATTCGATAATATCTGTTATCCTCTACGAGGCAATTCCGAGAGCTTCGGCTTTGATGGCAGTTGTAGGAACCTTACAGCGTTAATCAATCTTACGTATGACAGTTGGATTTGGTATGCTGTGCAGCTTTAGAATGTTCAGTAATGAGGATGTTACTATAGGCTCATGGATGCTAGCTTTAAATGTTCAACACGAAGACGATCGCTCCCTTTGCGACCCCGAGTGTCACCCTAATTCCGTCGCAGTTTGGGACATTCCCGCTTGTTCAGGTAGGCAGGAAGGCTTTGGATACAAGTTGAATCAGAAAAATAGTGATACTTGATCTTAGTATTCAATGTTTGTTTTCGACGCATGAGCGATCGTTTAATTTTGACTCTGAATGATCTGAAAGTGTCACTGACTACGACTTTCGGTGTGCAGGTCTCTGTCACTCGGAACAGAGGCTCCTTCAACTTCACCAGCAAGATATGTGTTCAAAAAGTCCCACTGTGTTTGATCAGTAGTTACGTCCTAACGCCAATTTGTGAGGAGACCACGCCTTACCGCTAAGGCGACATACTATACAGGGATTTTGCTAAGATACCTGTTATATTGTAACATAATTATTTCACCTCCTTAGGAATCGGGGGTTTCGTTACATGATGTAGAAGAATTGTCAAGTTTGGCGCATCTTATCCTGGTTCTCATAAGCATGTGGAAGTGTGATTCTGAACTTTCCATTTCGATCATTAGAATACCGCCTCCCATGAGCAGAAGAACATGAATGTTAACAAGAATGTGGTGGCATCACACAAGAAGATAGAGAGAAACAACATCATTTGTCATAATCTTTCAACATGGCACAGCACACATCAAATCTGACATGAATGTATGTTAAAGAAATAATTTGACTATACAGAGAAATTGGTACATATCAAGGAGGTGCCAAGGGCACACTTGCACACAATTTGTTTTCCAAACCAACTTATGTCACTTGGAATGTAATTGGAAGAAGCAATCTACGACTATCACGATAAAAATTGCATGATTTTTGGGTCGACTGCAATATTTTCAGCATGCGGTGGCATCTGCAAAATCTCTATTGAATCAGTTTGGAGTTTCGGACCCTGGACGAGACTGCTGGCTTTCTCTAGCTTGATTTGTAGGAGGCTGGCGGATTTGGTAACTTCTGTAACCAGTCATCAATCACAGTGGATCAAAACCTTTACAACTGGCAATGAGGTCTATTGATTGTACTGAACAAATAATAATGTTTTCCACACATTCTTTTACCTAACCTATAGAAATCCTGGACCTTTGGCCCTGGTAGATCTTTAATTACTCATCATGATGTCTCAAAGATCTAGGCAATTTGTGGACTTCGTAAATTGCAAAATATTCAGTTGAGTATCACACTCGAAGTAAAATTCAGGAGAAAATAATTATACCTGCAAGAAGGGAGCTGTCTAGATGCGCTACAGATTTCAAGTCACATAACATCTTCCTTTTGATAGTCATCTTTCGCAAGGAAGTCAACTCTCTACGCATTCTTGAAGCATCTCTCTCCGCCTGAACACACGCATCGCAAAGAGTTAACGCAAGCTCAACATTGTGTATCCGCGAGGTAGATAATTTGAGTGCTTCGAGGCCGACGTACCATGATCAATTGCGATCGAAGAGAGCACAGCTCCTTGTTTAACAGTTCGTCTTGCTCTTGAAGTTCCTCTATACCAGCTGACTCTCTTGGACGTCCCTGATCATCAGCCTTCTGAGACAGGCCTAATAGTGGATTGTCAGATGCCACATCAAAAGACAAATAGAAAATAAAAAATGTCAAATTCAAGCCCCAGCTGTCAAGTATTGATATCAGTTTCCAAGAAAGGTGTTCTTTTAACATGAGGTATATATTTCACATGAAATGTAAACCTCTGTTGTCTATTCGTGTGAATTGAGACATCCTAGAGAACGCAATGGTGAAAGGATTACGTTATCTGAGGTGTTTAAGATCTCTGCGTCGCTGGTGACATTGAAGTAGTGCTGTCGGCAACTTGACTCCCACAGTGAAAGATGCTCATCGATATTATCTTTAACTTTATTGTAGATCTTGTCAACGCCCTACATCCACTCTCAAGAATTTCAGGAGTCATCGAAAGACGTGCTGTTGTGGGAAAACGTAGAGATTATATCTGGCAGCTTCAAACTGCATATTTTTCAGTCTGAAGAAAGTGAACACGCAACGTACATTCTGAAGTGCACTTCGGGCTTCTTCATGTTGAAGATTTAAGGACTCCGCTGCAAACCTGCCATTCGTGTGTTTCAATGTTATGGGTGGAAAAAGAGAAGATAAGAGACTATACGTTTTAATGAATCTCCTGGCAAACAGCAGTTATAGAATCTCGTGAACCAGACAATCAGCAACACATAAATTAAATAAATAGCGCTAGAGCACCAGAACTCGTTGGCCACGTTGAAAGTAGAAAAACATACTCTTCGAAACTATCGAAACCGCCAACGATCAAGTCGTTAACCTGCGATGGTACCGAAGGTGAGGAAAAGAGGTGGAAGGATGAGAACATTAACAATTCAATCGGAGGTGTCTTATGTACATTCAAATCTGTATTAAGAACCAACAAGAATGTAAACAATCTCGAGGAATTTAGCACAGGCAATCACGTAAAAAGCAATGACAGTCGATACTGAGCAAATTACGGAAGAGTGCCGAATGCGGCATTCAATCATGATATGAGTGTGGAAGGCTTCACCAGACAGTGACTACAATCGATCCAGATGGCTCAGAAACAAAAGGCGGATCGCCATTTAAGGAAGGAAGAAAAATTCGCACCGAATTCACCACATCTGCTATGAAGGCTTCGGGGTCGAAATGGAATACACCAGCCGAGGTGGCAAACCGAAGAGAAGAGGCATCGTCAGCACCAGCGACATCGGGCTTGCGCAAACATGCAGATGATTCCATCTGATCCAGTTTGTTTCGTCTGTCACCCACACTGGACGCCTCCATGCTTTCTCGCCACCAGAGAAGAAACTATCATCCGGCAGAGCTTTCCACGAATTCAAGCCAGAGTGCTCCGTGCCATTCACGCACGAGGATCCATTTCATTCCGAGCATTCATCGCGTTCCAGTTTCTTCTTCCGCACAATCCCTCCCGCCTCGACGCAGCATGACATAGGATTTGAATGCGGAGATTTCGATGACGTGGGCGCTCTCCATTGGCCGGTACCAACAACGCTCGCGAGGGTCCCAGTGTCCCACTAGCCCGCCTGGCGAAACATAGGTAGGCTATTTAGTAATGGCGATGGCTCAGAAAGGGAGGCGGAAGTCCTAATTACAACGGCGAAGAGGGCCATATTTGGCAGGGTTTTTGGCGAGAGGTCGGATGGCGAATGCGGCTTCTTCCCGCGCTTATTAGACGGTCGCGTGTACGCGCTGCAGTTCTGCGCGATGGTTTGGAGGCATCGGAGACTATTCGCAAGTACGCGTTCGATTTCGGCTCGTCTGGACATCAAGAATGTGATCTCGTCGAATTGGGATATGCTGTGAGGTTCAAATATGGAGTTCAAAGTAGCGGGCGGCAGACGAACATCGTTCGGAGATGCATCAGATGTTGGGGGAGTTCAGAGCAGGCTGTCGTTTTACTCCAATTCGTCCGATGTCGATGTTTCTTTGGAGGATTTCGAGCAGTTTGCAATGGACAGGCTTCGTGGTAAGAGAATGTAGTTCCAGCTAATTTTTTTTCATCGCATTCCGAGATTTTTCGCAGTGAAGCTCAGCTTGTTACTGAGTTTCTTGATCGTGGGGGCTTCCAGTCTTGAAAGGAATAGAAGAGGGCAGAACGCGAGGAAGGAAGGCTGAAGAAATTGACGCATTGGTATGTCTTCTGTTGCCTCTTTCGTTCGCTCCTTTTTTTTTCGTTTGAATCTCACTTAAGGTCTGAGCGTGATCTTATCATCGTTCCTTCTCGCAAGGAAACAGTCATGTAGTGTGTAATGTGGGGTGTTTGATTAATTAGGTGGTCGACCTTTGGCGAAAGCATATGCGGACTCCAAATGCAGCAGACATCGCGACGAAGGACATGGTTTCACACTTCGTTCTCCGCTTGGCCTATTGCCGCACGTGAGTTTTTTCTTTCTTTCTACAAAGCGATCAGGAAGCTGATTTGTCCTCGTACTGATGGGACCCCTAGCCAACTGTTTTGGAACATTCGCACATCATTGCACAACCTTTCTCTTTTTTACGGTATTATTACTTCATTAGACTGTTGTTGGTACTGATTTTTTCGTTGTCTGGAAGTAGAACAAATCACTACTGTCCTTGCCAGCTGGTTTAGTGTGCAACTTGGCCGTTGGACATACATGTGTTCGATAGTCCAATTGGCTCAGAGTCGATTTGATACATATGTGATATATTTGATACATATATATATATCACATTCACTCTCTTCCCTACTGACGCCTTGAGTTGCCACTCACTTCTTCCCTAGTTCCGCTGGATGGAAGAAGATCACCGTTAGTCGCATGGCTAGTATATTGTATATATGTATATCTACCTCTGTACAATTGCATAGTGAAGTATGCAATTGTACAGACTTTTAATCTGTTTGAAATACAAATTAGCTGGCTCATGTCGTTCTTACCTGTCAACGTTTACTTGATTCCAGTGAGGAGTTACGCAGATGGTTTCTTGCAATGGAAAGTGCTTTATTCCGAGCCCGCTTCCGTGCTGAGTCCCCTGAATCTCAGGTATTTCTGGTCCGGTAGACAGGCTACTCCTACAGTTGAGCTTTAATCTAATGTTATCATTCCGCTCAAAATTTACCAGGAACGTCCGTGGGTAATGAATTTATTTATTATATTACATTCTTGTGACTACAAGCACAAATTTGTCTTGCAGCGAAAATTTATGGAAGATCAGAAGCTACCGTACAAGGCAATAAGTTCAACTGAGTTTGAGGTATGGTTATTATTATGTCGCGTCCATATCATCTTCGTGGACTTTATCAAGTTACATTGCCGACTGTTCATTAAAACAGCTAATTGAATCTTTAATCCAGTGGGTTGAATTGAAGGCATTTTAAGCCAAGTGATTGTCGCTACTCTCACCATGCTAACCGATCGTCACTTAATCAAAGGAAATACAACTAGTACTTGTATAATGTGTTGTTTGATTTTGAGCCACCAAGTTATTGCCGATATTTGACAACTTATTACAAGATGTCTGCCTTCTGGTCAGAGTAGTCTGTGAAAGAGAAATTGGGGCAAGTTGCACGCTCTTTGAATCAGCCCGTCCCAACTGGTACCCACCTCGTCTTAAGTTCTATTTGATGTCATTGCTCTTATGTTATCAAGTGGTTGTATGAATAGATAGGTGATATTTTATTTTGAGTTGAAGCCTCGAATCGGAACTTTGTTGTCGAGTCTTGATTTTGTGTATTTAACTCCCAATTGCTCTTGGGTCAATTTCTGGTGGCTGCAGCTGACAATACATTCTACAAGGTCAGAACTCTATCAATGTAACTCCTTTCGCATGGGTGATATGTCTGTGGTTGCAGTATACAGTTATAATTTAAGTAATTCTGAGTGATGAAATGGTGTGCCTTCAATGGTATAATTTGACAGCCACAACTTTTAGTTTCCGCGACTTAACTGACAAATTTTTTTACTAAGAAACTCAGATGTCCTTCTCTTCAACTCAAGCTATAGCCTAATGAAGAGAGTGACTTTTTTTTTGTTCCAAAGTTTCTCAAGATCGGGACCAGAAAGGTTCTCAGCTTGGAGTTTACACAGACTTTTTTTATGACTACTATGCAGGTCCCTTTTGAAGAGGTTCCTGAGCTTGTCAGTGCTCGAAGGGTCTACTTGCAACGAGGTTTTGCATTTGTTCCTCGAGACCAAGTATGTTCAACAATGCCACCATTTTTCTTATCCACCTTGTAATAACTTGCCCGAAGAGTGGTCTTCGTGACAATACTTCTTCATGTGTTATGAGGCAGTCGGTTGCTAGTGTATGTGTACGTACTTTTCATGTATTTTGAAATCTGAATTCACGTCCTGTCAATTTGGTCCTGCCTGTTCTTTTGCGACAAGTCTTCGCACTTCTGTTAACATTTTTATTCATTCAAGTAATGCATGTTTGGTTGGAATCTGCAGCTCGCGTCTATCGTTGTTGGCCAGTTTCGTGCCCGTCTTTCGAAGGCTCTTGCCCTGACCAATAGGTTTGTTATCTTGTTGTTGGTTGAACTTCACGCTAGTGCTTAAACTTGCTGGCGAGGAATAGTTGGCGCTTGCTATCGCAATTTCTGTTTCATTCTCCAACGTAAAATCTTGTGCTTTTTATGATGGGGAGTAGCGTCTGCATAGTGCCGCATGTGTATGTGTATAGGGTTTAATAAGATTCACCCATGGAGGGTGTTGACAAGTCTGGAAGGAGAATAGACTATCAATGGGAGCTACTTGCTTCTGGAGGATGTGTACTCTCGAAGTTCGAGGATGCTCATCAACCTAAATCCTGATTCTTTTGGTCACAAGATAGTGCAGACGTATTGATCGCCAATTGAATTGCATCTAATTCCCGTTGATTATACCCGCTGATGTAGGTTGTGGACATCAACTATAGCCGTTGAAGAAAAAGACAGGCTCACACCGGTTCGTTTTGAAGATTGTAGCTTGCTCATTCTCTTACTTTTAAGAAAGTGCGAGGATTGGTTGGAATCATAATTGCAAATGTGACTTGACATGCATAACTCTGTCACTTGATCTCTGTTCTAGCTTTCTTCTGATAGGCTGTTTATTGGTTTACACTAAGTAAAAGCCGTGAAGATGCACTTCAAGTTTCAAGAAACCTCACATTAGCAGTATCCATGTGGCAGATTGTGGAGGCTCTGAGCATGCGATACCTTGGTGCTGATTACTCCCAGGTACATGAACGTGCATCTGTTGTTCAAAGTTGCCACGGGCCAGACGGAAGTTGCCTGTTGCAAAATAGAATATAGCTTATGGAGGTTCTGTCCAGGTCTCAGTTGTCGTGTGCCTCTTATTTCTCATAGAACATCATCGACGAAAGTCAAACTGATACTCGTGGATAGTGCACATTGTGAAGAGGTTTATGCTGAAAATTGTTTGTTGTTTTGTAGCCTTCAAAAGGGTTTGTTGGACTTCAGGACTTGGACAATCTGGCCAAGAACTCTTTCCCTCTATGCATGCGGCATCTTTTTTTCAACGTATGTCTTTCTACAGTTTCCTGTCCTTGACATTGCAAGTTAAGAGGATTGAAATTTCATTACCAGTTGCCTTCATGCTCTCTTCTTCATGAGTGAAACTGAGCTCATAAAACTTTGGCAGTTGCGACATGAACACCATCTTAAATTTGGTGGCAGGCAACAACTCGGACTCTTTTTGAAGGTAACTTTCCGGACGAAAATCCTTTTTGCTTTTAGCTTTATGATATGCATTATTTTTTCAAATCGTGATCTTCCAGCATTTGTTGCTTATCGAGAAACTCGTTGCTTCCAGGGTATTGGACTGAAACTAGAAGATGCTCTAAATTTTTGGAGGTCCGAATTCACCGTGAAGGTATATTTGACTTTCAACTGTTCGGCTCTCAACTCGATTCTGTGGATCCTGATAATCATTAGCAGTATTCATAGATAAGAGTTGCTACTTGTTTGAAAATTTCTTCAATCGAATAAATATCAAGCGCAGGCGTTTGGACTATTTCAAAGTTGAATAAAGTTCGTCTTATTGACCACCGTCTCGGGTCTATCGCACTCATGAAAACTTGCGAGAAGAAAACTGCAATCAGTTAGCTCAGCAAGCCGTCCTCGAAGCTGATATGTTTCGAATGGAATACGTTGGCCTAGGATTGTATCATATGAGTGCCTGGCCTACAGACTAGTTTGTTAATCACTCTTCTAGAGCTGTTTATGCCCCCATAATCTATGTGAAACTAGTATACTTGATGCAAAAGTCTTATCCTACCCTTGAGAACCTACTTTTGTCCGTACAGTCGGCCGCATGATGTCCATGCCGACTACGGTTGGCTCGTTTTGACTTGCGTCAAAAGTCTAGCTTGGCTTTAACATTCTTGAAGTGCATATTACGGAACCTTGTTATATGCTTGAAAGCATCTGAAACTCAAGTTGATGTTAGGTTCCAGTATGTTCTTCACCATGTAATTAAATTTGAGGAAGTAACTTTCGGTGACCAGATACTGAGTTTTAGTGTGTTTCGAATAGTTTCACTATCGTCGGGAATGACATTTGCTATATAGGCTTATCCTGATTTTCAAGGAAGTTCAGAGAGCGATGTCACAATACCTGGGAGAAGACTGGGGGATGAAATGAACCCAAGCGGAGGTCATTGATTGACGGTCATTGGGGGACTTAGTGAGAAATGGTGATTGAAATTTTTGGATGTCCAGTTGATCAGACGGCTCTACATCCTGAATCTACCAAGATGGCTTGTTGAAGTGGTGCAGATGACTACGGAAAAATTTGATAAGGAGTATGGTTACAGCATAAGACATAATTTTGGCAAGGAAGGCAAGCGTGTTGTAAGATTCTGTATTCCTCGTGCTAAGATATTAGTCTCGGAGTCAAGGTTCATTCACCTCACAATGTGTGCATTTGTAATTAACCTGCAGTATATATTGACTCTTCACAGTGAGGTTGTGCTTTCCAAGATTATCATCAAAAAATGTCGTGCCAACTCGTACAGATATGATGTCCTAATTTTATGATGTACGTACAGCACTGAACCTTGACAATAGTATTAGAATATTGTGTTGCCATGTTTGTCTTTGGTCGCCTTTTCAGCAGGCATCAACTGCAGATGCATGGGATTCTAAAGAATCAGTTATTTTACAGGATTACACTCCATATTCTTGCATGAAAATTATTACATCCACACCTGGCGTCGGAGATCATCATGGATGTCCTTACCGACATTTCAGGTCCATGTTCTTGAAAGAATCTGCTTTTGTTCCTTTGTCTCCGTTTACCTCACCGTGTCACCTAATGTTGACTGTACGAGGAACAACTATGTCCTACGACTTCTACTGATTCTTTTGTGGTTTCATATTTCCAGTCAGGAGAACCTTCGCTCTGTGCTCGAAGATCAGCAGCTGAGCTCCAGAACTGTAGATGCAGTAATGGAAAAAGTTCGAAATCGTCATTACCAGGTAACCTTTGAGATTTAGAATCTCTCCCGTGACTTTGTGAAGCTTTGGTTGTATGTTTTCGTCGTAATGATACCTGATGGAAAAGTTTCTAAAGAGGCGGATGTACGATTCAACAGTCGTTATCATAATGCCCTTGTTATATGACTAAGGGTCCAGTTGACTTGTTGACAGCTCGCGTGTGCGACCACCTTTGAGGCCATACACGGGTGTCCGAGCGATGGAATAAATCATCCCAATCAATACTTTGAGCAAAGTCGAAGAGCATTGCAAGGTGGTGGCCAGGCAGAGGTATGTTGAGTTGAATGGCCGTCCCCCTGTCATGCATCGCATCGCACCGCTACTCAACGCAAGGAATCACGCAGAAAAGAGCTCATTCATTCTCTAGGGTCAACTTTCGTGGCCATCCGAAACTCCTAAAAAATGTCTGCTGCCGAAGTTTGCTTCCTTATCTAAGACCCGGTAGTCTGAAGATGTTGGAGGTCTAGACCCTTCCTTACTAGGCTGAAGACGTTGGATTGCTTGCCAGTGCTCTCGGCGACTCTTTCCCCAAACGTTTGATGGCCTACGTATTGTGCGCAGAATACATCATCATCCAACGGCCTGCAATCGGTCCCTCTTCCGGCGCACCACGACCCTCCGCATCCTGTCGAAAGAGGAACGCTGCCCATTCCCGGTCCCTAACGCGTACTTTCCTTTCCGGTCTCTCATCCTCTCGGTTCTCCTCAGCGTATGCCTGTCCGAACGCACGCTCGTATTGATATTGATGTGATCGGCAGAGGCTCTCCGAGTTGTATGTAGCCGAGCGGAGGCGAGCCGAGCCGCTGCCCACTGCAGTGAACGTATCCGCATCCGCATCGGTCCATCGGTCCATCGGTCGAAGGTGATGCTTCCGTCTCCAACGGCTCATGAGACCCACTGTGTAACATAAGTACAGAGTAGCTGGCCGACTCGCCCGACTGGAGGAGGCAACGGCCGAAGAGATCCACATGTTCTAGTTTTAGGCGGCACAGGCATCAGCAGTAGAATAGAAATGAATCTAGCACAACTCCTTCCGTCCGACACTCCGGCCTTCTTGGGGCGATGGGGTCTCAGGTTGTGTTGAATTCGGTGAGTGAGTGGTTATTGTAGCTGTAGGATCTATAAAAGGAAGCCGGAAGGCGTGGACCATTGCTTTTGGATCACAGAAGCCCGGCTCCAAGAGGGAGGAATAGTATATGTATATGCCCAAGACGACGTTGAATAACTTGGCCCGCTTGAACTGACACAGAGAGAGGTCCGGTTGGCGTGTTCGGAGTGGTGTTGTAGAGCCTCGAACTGCAAGAGGTTACGCAGATAATGTATTTTCCGGGAGGAAATATTGAGACGATATCTCCCAATAAAAGTGCGCACACTTGCCATACTTTATGGTCTATAGAATTCCAGATCATCCTTGTGGTGATAATGAGCCAGAAGTAGGGCAGTGTGTCTCGCAGGGCGGGGCGATGGCATTTTGTTGTGCCCATTTTGCAGGTCCATGTGACAGGCGCTACTTTTCCTACAAAGGAAAGATCCCTTCGTGCAACATATCTGGAATTATACCCTCCAATTGTGAGAGATCGAACCGGAGATTGAAGTCCATGCAGGAATTTTTCATGTCCTGAGAAACTCATCTGGATAGCCCAATAGTCTCGCCTTTTAGAACATGTTGTAGAGTGGAGGCAACGCTTTACCGGCAGTGATTGACTTTGCACACCAACTGCGAATGAAAGGTTGCAGTGCGGAGGTTGCCAGTACTGTACATCAGTACATCTTCGAACACTCCTCATGGCAGGCCCGAAGATTCCATCGGACCCGAGGCAGATCATCAAGTCCGTCGCAGCGCCTAGGTTGTGTATGTGCCAGCCCAGCCCCTGCAGCCCTCTGAGGTGGTGCACCATTGACCCACTACTAGCTCCCCAAAGGTTCCCGACGCTAGCCCACATGTAAGATTCTCCGGGCCTTCGGAAAGCAAGGGCGTTTATTCCCCCACCTTGCATCGTCCATGATCATCACCTCAGCCGGACGAGCCCAGCCCTGCCCGACCCAGATTTCTGTTACGTCGGCTCGGCTCGGCTCGTCTCGTCTCGTCGGTCGTCGCGCAAAAGCTTCATACGTTGATGTTTCGACGCGTATGGATGCCCACTGGACTGGGGAGGACTAGACGAGGTGCGATGGCATGGGGATGGGGAATCGTGGAATGGATCAAAAGCCCCTACTTTTCGTCGTGGCATCAGTCGGATAGCCTCAGCGAAGAGGATGCGTCAGCTCCGATCTTTAGCTTCAAACGACGGCCTGGGGAAATATGGCGAGAGCGAGGGGGGGGGGGGGGGGGGGGGGGGGGGGGGCTTCATGTGAGGGAACCCGCCTCTAATCATTAGGTTCGGGCCTTGTGGTTTGTGTCTCCCCTCCTGTCTGCAACCCTAGAGTAGCGAGCTCCCCGTATCGGCGAGTGTCCCTCCCCTTGCACAAGGCACTCCTTTTTGTCTGTCTGTCTGTCACATGCTCGCATTTCGTTACATCGGTCACAGAGCACAAGCTCGTCGACACGTTTCGCTACGCCAGACGGTGGGAATACAATCTCTATGCAGGACCGAGTCAACTCTGCGTTTGTCAGTCACTCTGAACTCTCTATTCCACTCCCCGCCCCGATTCCCCCATCCCAAATCTCCGACCTCTTCCGATTTCTATCCCTTGTAACCAAACACCGACAACCGTGAGTACCTGGACAAGCATGCTCTAAATACTGCTGATCTTCCGTATCCACACGAGTCCGATTCTTGTGATCGGGTACAATATACTGGTGGCCTCGGCAGGTCAGTATACCGCACCAGACCCTAGCTCGCCTGCCCTTGTTCCCACAGACGCTACTGCAGTTGCTGCTGCTGCTGCTATGTGGGGCTGGGGCTGGGGCTGGGGCCGCCGGAGGACGACGAAGATTAGGGTAATTCGTCAAACGCTATCATTCTCTCGTACCGAGCATATTTTTAATGGCGAGGTCACCAACCCCCTGCCCCCACTGTAGGCCTGGCTAGGGTCACTTTGAGCCCTAACCCCACTCCGTGCCTTGTTTTTTTCTCGGCTCGGATCAGTCCGGACGAGGTGGCTGTCTAGCCCTAGGCTGCAACATGGAGAATCGGAGCGGTCAAATGAGTTGAATTTGAGATGATGGCGTAGGGGGGTCGAGATGAGTAGATGGGTGTGTAGACGGCCCCCAAGGTTTTGCTTTCGCAGTGGCAAGGAACCATCTATGCGCGTCGTAGCCCGAGGAGCATTTGGAGAGAGCATTTTCGGAGCATCGGTTGGTAGCTGCCAGTGTTTTTTTAGGGAGAGCCGGTGGAGGTAAGTGGGGACATGCGCATGCGCATGGAATTTGAGGTGCGAAGAATGCCCCGATGAAGGCCCGAAATGTGGGCTGCCAGTGTCGAAACCTCGCACACACGCAGCAGCTGATTCCGTCTTGCCAGGGGTCGTGTCTCTAACATTCTGATTTCGAAGAGTCGCGCCACCACGGCTCCAATTCGGAGGTGGGTGAGAATTGATCCGATGATCGCGACTCAAGGAAAAGCGAGAAGATAACATTTGTCACGTTTTTTTAATGAGTTGTGAGTCTTTTGGAAATATGTGTCTCCCTCCGAGATCGGCATTCTCCCAAGGCAACACTTGCTCCACTCCACTCCACTCCACTCCACTTCACTTCCCTTCCCTTCCCCTCAAGAATCTCCTTGCCACAATCTCAAACGTTGCAGCCTCCGAGGATTTCTCTTCGATTCCCGCAAAGCCCTTGTTCTACTCGCATCATTTCCAAATCAACCATGCCATGAAGTACGTCCACGAGAGCGAACACGAATCTTAAGTGTATGTTTAGTCCACATCTACGAGATGGTACAAGAAGCTCCAAAATGAACCTAAGCTGAAGAGTGTGACCCGACTCTGTGTGTTCTCAGACCGCACACCCTTGGCTCTAATTTGCCATCCTGAAAATTTGACTGCGCAGGAGTCAAGTTTGGCTTGGTGGGGACATCTCTCTGCTCTAATGTTTCTCTCTAATGCAATGAAACCATCCAACCATGAAATGTGTATTTATTTTTGCTTCTTCTGAGCTTCACATGTCTACGAAGCTCTCTGTATTTTGGCACACGAGGAACATGTCCATGACGAGAACGTCCGTGAAACTTTTCAGATCTTAGTCGGCCATGGCTTTTCGTCCTTGAAGGAAGCGTCCTCTCTCTCTGTCCTTCGCTGAGTTTGAAAGCCTCGTGTCCTCATGAAAGCGGTTTGGTTATTTCATCTTTTGGGTTGTTGACAATGTTGTAACTGTTGTTGTAGTCGAGATGCCACGACAAGAATATTTACAGTGATATTTATTTATGTACATGTCTTGTTGTTATTGAGAGCCACCGGCATAGAGATCAGATCATTGCATTTGGCGTGAGCGTCTGTCGAGGCATTGTCTCCTTGGAGGATTGTCAAGGTCAGTGCTAGTTGCAGCGAGAGAATTTCTACGCTGGCTGCTAGTTTGTCATAAGCTGGGAAGAAGATGGAAGGATCTCAAGGGAAGAAGACGAAATGAAGATTACAAAGGAGAACAAAAAGCAGCAGTTCCATGATTCTGGAGATTCTTCGGGCCTGCAAGCAACCCCAATAATTGTTCGAGATATGAGCAAGTAGTAGATGCAAAATCGATTCATCTCGAGAGGTCTTGTCTTCGTAACTTGTTGATAGACAATAATCATAAATACTATTAATCAGAAATTAAGTTCACGCTTAAAATGTGAATTTCATTACACGACAACTTGGGGAAAAGATATTTCTATTCCATCTGTAGAAATGGTAGATAAATGACCAAGAGCAAGAAACCCAATCTCGTTACTGATACTAAAGCGGAACCAGTTTTTGAAGAACATTCCAAATCTCATACAGTTTTTATGGAAGGGGAAGCACACAAAACTCGTGCCCAAAGTAACACCAGGGCAGTTAAGCTGGAACGTCGACGATTTCGAGGCTCTCACGCCCTTGCTGCAAGTACAGGATGTCTACGCAACTTATAGGCTCGAGGACATACGAAATAAATAAACAAATAAACAAATCGTTCAATTTATCAAGACTGCTTGGTGCAGTTACGCACCTCTCACGGAAAAAAATAATGCACACGTAAAGTATGCTATTAAAGAGCCCAAATGTACTGAAGCAGGAGATGAAGTCGAGCCAAACTTCATCATGGACCTAATCGACGATGTGGTTCGGACGCTCGAGGCACAACTTGCGAAGGCTTCGGAAACACTGGGCCTTCATTCGGAAACGAAAATGAATGATTCGCAACCGATTCTACTCGCCGCACAACCCAAAAAAATCCACCTATGCTACGCAAGCTGGCTCTCTCCATGACTCACTACTCGAGTACTCACTACGGCAGTACTGTACGTCTGCTGATCTTCACCCCATTTGATTGACTTCTCGGGCCACGAGCGAGAAAGAGAGAGAAAGTTAGCTGCTCTGGCTGACAGACGAGCGCGCTCAGAGCGAGCGACCTCGGCAGCAACGGCAGGAGAAGCAGCCGCTGCTGCTTCGAGACGCGAGCGAGCGAATGGCTCCTTGTCCTGGGGCTTCCGCGCACCGTTCGAGGCCCACGCAAACCAGCTCGCTCTCTCATCTGGACGGGGGCCGAAGAGTACCAAACAAGACGCGGCTCTTGAATGCCGTTCCGGTGGCAGGTCGACCGCCACCCGGTTCTTCGAGTGGGGGTTCTTGCCGCATGAGGCGGAGCACTGTCCCGCCCAATGGGAGGCCCCCGGAGAGTGGTCCCTGCGGCCTACAATGCCCACTACAGGAACTCGGCCTTCTGGTACGGGCCAAGTTCTCGGTCGTCTCGTGGAATGTTTCAAGGTCCGGCCTGTTTTGCTCCGGAGCGCTATTCACCGGTCCGGGACAAGAATACGGGCGGTGACCGGTTTCCAGCAGGCGGGCATTGTTCTTGTAAGGGACTCTGTAAAACGTGAGTCGCATCAACCCTTGCGCGCCGTTCCCGGAGTGTACCGTTTGGGATTCGGCATTCCAAGAACAATTGCATGGAGAGCCCGGCCGGTGACCGGACACGTCGGCTTTATTTTGTCCGCCCGCCTGAATGTTCTTCCCCTTCTTGCCATCGTGTTCCGTATTGGCCGAATGTCTCCTGTTCTTCTTTCGACGGAGATCGAGGAAGCGGCTTCTCCACTTCCCTCCTCCGCCAACGAGAGAGACCGTTGGGCGAGGCCTTCTGCCGGTGATGTGATGGGACTGGAATATTCGAATACTTGTGGCAAGAATTCGTGCGGTGGTGGTGAACCCAAGGAAACTTTCAGTTACCGAAATCCGAAGCTAAGGTCCCCTTTTCTGATCAGACATATCGCCCCACACAGATTACTCTTGTAGCAGTCCATCCATAATTGCGGGCTCTTTGTAAGACTATTAAACACCCGATTAAAGAACCAGCGCACTTTAATAAATTAACATGAACCAACAATTCTAGGCTTAAACCAACAATCCTAGGCTATTTTCAAAAAAAAACTATTCCGTTTTTATTATATTCCAGACGTGATATGTCAAAAAGTCTTTTTTCATCGATTATTGCAGATCACTAGATGTCTCCAACTACATGGATTTTCACAGTAAGATTTATTCATCTAGTATTGTAGTAAGATTTATTCATCTAGTATTGTAGTAATAAAATTTTGTGAATGCTAAAATTTAAGTGTTCGCTAGAGACTGCACATGACAATACGAGCATGAGAATAAGAGTTTATGCCAGAATGATCATTATGTATCACATATTCAACAGTGTGTTTTAGAGCTGACAACGAACAGTCTCTAGTGCTATCTGCACATAAAATATCATGGTAGTGAGGCTCACGTTTTCAAATTAGATTACCTAGATAGTTTGGGGTGTTTGTCACCGATCTGGTTTCATAGTTCTGATGCTTGATAAAATCTACGTTACATCACATTGATAGAACTTTTAGATGCCCATAAGTCACGATGAGATTGAGACCCAGAGATTGGATACGTTCTGAAATCAAAGGTTCTCGATATTTCCATCCCAATTCCCCGACTGAGTCCACTCGTGGACATCATTCAGCCTAACGCAGCCACATCAACTAAAGCTCGTCAGGTCACCTTGTCGAACAAATATCCCGAGCACAGGGCATTGAGCCTATGAAAACACATATCTTCGTTTGACATTCTCCCTCAAATATCACCACTGAACCCTTACTAGTCATTGACTCAACTCAACCACACACGCTCATTCGACCACACCTTACTTCGCAGTTCTGAATCTGCTTGCGCAGAACAGCACACAATCAGTTTTAGAAGCCTATTGTTAGAACTCTTACTATTTGGCCAATCATATACAGTCGAACCAACTGAGCATATCATCCACAACACACGGACTCGAGTGAGGCATTTGGGACATGCAATAGACAGCCATGAACATCCATCCGAAGAGAGGCGTTTCCCTTTCCGATAGATCTTGAATTTTGGGAGTGGGCTCGCTCCTCCATGGGCCCCATTGCAGCATTGGATCTGATGGTAATTTGCACTCGACATGCGTCCCGCCTCATGCGAGTCCTTAACAAGTTGCCCCATACCTGGCGTGAATTCCCATGGAATTGTGCTCGGCTTGTTTGATGCTCGCCGTACAATCGTTGTCATGGCATTGCCATCCTTAAAGCATAATATTTCGTCGTTCTAAATCTCACTTCTATTCACTATTTTCTATTCCACGTCCTTGCTCTGTACTCCGGCCCGTGTTTTCATTCGCCGTTCCCAAAGAATTTGTTGTAGTGAATATCACGACTCGTAACATGGGATATTGTTCTCACGGCCAATAATTAGCGACATGACATTAACCTACTCGGAATTCATTTACATTAACGCTAAACTACATTTAAATAACAAAATCGGAAACTAACGGTCCATCCTGGTCATTACGCGAGTCACGTGTCAGCTCGCTCATTCTGACGGCTATTAAATTAGAACATGACCCCAGCTTTTCCCCATCAATGCTAGCGCACCCCATATCCATACATGATGACCATCGACTCAGCACCCGATTCGGAGGTGATGCATGCATGAATGGCACTTTCTGGCCACTACATGGTTTATCATCAACAGTTTCGCCGCGGCCGGCAGCAGCGGGCTACGTCATCCCCGGCCTAGCGGGTGCGGTTCTCAAGAACTACCGGGCGACCGAATCCTAACCTTGGTCCCGACCCCCGCCCTGGGTCCTGGGTCCTGCGTCCTGGGTATTGGGTCCTTAGTCCTTACCCCGGACGGGGGACGTGCCTCACTGCCCTGCCCTGGGGCTGAACTTGTGTACCACGATCTGATCGCTGGCTCCTTCTTCCAGAAAGTGACAGGTGCGAGCGAGGCGCATTTTAAGAGTCAAGTACAGCGCGCTCTTATTTCGGACAAATGCGATTGCGAACAATAATGTTAGCGAAGAATCGGACTGCAGCGATTCGTGATCGGCATTCGTGTCGATGGATCCGCTGGCTCGGTCGACCGCGGTCCAGAGTCCGTCGGGGGATATGGCTACCTGAATTTACTTACTTTCTTCAAGCCTGCACTGACGTATACAGGCCTCCTCCGGCGAATGGACTGCAGGGTCGCTTGTCGCACCTGTTTTTATTCGACTCTACGTGCGGAGGAGACAGTTGTTGTGCTCGTAGTGGACATGAAGTTTCCAAGTCCCGGTGCAAATTGTTGCTGATGAAATCTGGCCACGAGCGGTGCTAAAGTGGACTCCTCCGCAGCATGAGTTCCTCGCCCCACGTTCTCCGGAGCAGCGAAAAACGAAACGAAAAACTTTCTTTCCCTCCATTCTCTCCTCCTGCTGCAGCAGCAGGAGCAGGAGCAGGAGCAGCAATTGTGCAGGGGAATTTCATCGGCCATGGGTTTTCTTTTCTGTCTTTCTCCTCGCTTTACTTGCCTCTCCTCTCCGCTCCTTTTCCCGGGGCTCGACTTTCATGACTTTCACGTTTGTTTCTTTCCCGGCATTCATGCTTCCTCCTCTGCTCCCCATGTATACTTCTCCGAGGCCGCGAGAGCGCAGGGCAGACGGGGGAGAAATCTGGCCAGCCCGAGAATGCTTTTTCAATAAACTACGCACTGCATTAAGTTCAGGAATAATTCGAGCTTACGGGGGAGCTATAAATGACGAGCCAGCAGTAAATGGGAGCCGACAGAGGACGCTTGTGTGTGTATGTACATCTCTGACCGTGTATGCATACACGGGGTGATGGATCGATGGATTGGTCTTCGTTTGCGTGTCAGGACAAATTGACAATAGCGTGTCTGTTGGTTGCCTCGAGGACCTACTGTTTGTAACTGCACAAGTACGAGGGTCGGACGCAAGTGTGTGGCTGGCGATACCCGGTGCGGGACAATTACGAGCCGGTGACCACCACTGAATGTCGGAAGGAGGATGGGACGGACCGGTACGTGTGACCGATTCGGCAGACTGTTCACTGTCGGGGCAGAGGAAAGAGGCAGGACGCACCGGGGAAAGAGGGTTACCACCGGTGGGCACGACTCGTGTGTGGGGTGGGGGGCGAGGTGGGCCCCCGGCTGACATGACATGACCTGACCTGCCCGTGTAGATGGGAATTTGACAAAACCGAGCCCATTTCGGGGTCAATGGACAAAATACGCCTCTCTGAACATACTCACCGGTGGCAGGCGGTCTTCACCCGGTTCGCCGTTTGTGGCTTCCGCCGCGCACACGTCAAAATACCCGCACCTACGTCCTGCGGATCGGGCTGACGCCCGACGGATGTGCATTAGAGTGCCCTCTACAAGAACGTCGAGCCGCTGGATCCACCTCTGCGTCATCCCCATCATCACGCCTGCAGGACTGACGACCGCTTTCGCGATCGCGATCGCGTTCGCGCTCTGATGTTCCTTCGAGCTTCATGGGCATAGAACGAACCGATTCGCTAGAAAGCGGGTGGCCGAGAGAAATAATTCCCCTCCCCCACCCTCTCCCCCCGCCCCCCCAACCCCCTCCCCTTCACGATCTGCATCGTGGCATCAGTTTGGCCATTTCTTCTCATTCCCTCGCTTCCTTTGGGGGTGGACATGCAAAATGTTGACGAAGAGAAAGAGAAAGAGTAAGCGAAAGGAAGCAAGATAAAAAATGTGGACAAGCCCTCGCTCGGTGGTAGGTACATATAGACAGTTGAGGGGAGGGGTTGTGTCCGACCTTCTAGATCGGTGTTTTTCCATTTTAAAGCTCTCGGTAGCTAGCACCGCACCACCACCACCACCACGTCCCAGTCCTTGGCAAAGAGGAGGCCCTGCAAGCGAGAGCAGCCATCCCTCGGGCCATATATAGAGTGCACATCGAACCCTAACGTTCTGAATAGACGCAGATAGATAGTCGTGCTGTTGCTCGCAGTTGCTGTTCTGAGAATCACAGTGATGATTGCAATGGGCCAAGATCAGAGTGAATATAGGTGAAACTCATGAATGAGGCCGTCCACATCCCTCGCTCGCCCCCTCATCTCGTGCATGTAGTGATTGATTGCAGCCACCAACATCAAGTCATTGCGACAACAGTCGGGGCTCCAATCGAAGCTTATGACAAACAGAAACTGAGGCGCCTGCTCGGATTCGGGGCCGTGCCCAGTAGCAAGTAGGCGCTCTTGTACGCCTGCACTATACCAGCAGGTGTGGCACCTCCTCTGCATCCCATAACTTGGCAATGATCGAAGCTGCCTACAAGAACCTCCAACAGGCATCCGGAACCACATTCTCGTCCACTGGCCACTGCTCGTCCGGTCCAGGGGCCCAGTGATGCCGAATCCGTATTCTCTGACCGAAGAAATTCGACAGGAGCCAACAGTACGAAGGCCGCATCCTCGGGCGCCTGTACTCCGGAGTCCGGGTGCCTAAATTTACATCTCTCGAGAGCTGAGGAGAACCACCACCGCCCGCACAGACGCGAGCCTATTCGGAGGGTGAAGTTAGGCCTGGAGCCAAATGTGGGGCTCCGCCTTCTTAATCGGGTGGCGGGACGCAGGGGCTGTAGCAGGTTCGAGTTCTTGTAGCCCGAGGTGGGAGTGCGCCTCATAGGTCACGGATGTCCGGGTACCGCGTTCCCCGTACCTACGACGGGAACCGGGTGATGGACGACCGGTACGCGCTGGTTCCTTCTGGCACTGCCTGGTCACACTGCGCTCTATTCTGGGACGATGGGGTGCTCGTTGGTGCCTTCGGGACTCGAAAGTGGAGGGCATGGAGGTGTACGAATGGAGCAGATATAAAAAGCAGTTCCGCTCCATGTTCTTCTCCTGTAATTGCGAAGACCCTTGTCCTGGATCCAAGTTGCTCCCTCTGCTACAGCGTGTGTTCTGCTCGGACTCCTCTTCGGTGGAAGAACTTGCACCAAATCCTGCTGTCCATCAAAATGACTTGAATGTCAAGAGACCCCAGGACACACTAAAATAACGAAAAGGCAGGAGATGAGGAGACTCCATCGAGTCGTACCGGGACTGAACCAAAGGAACGGTTATCATGGGGCTAGCCCAAACTTGAATGTGAAGTCACCATGACACATGAAATGTTCTGAGTTTCAAAGAAGGATGGGACGACCACTAACGTCCTTGCGTTCGATGGATTTTCCGCTTGTGACACGTGCTTTCTCTCTCTTCCAGAATAGATGTAACATGTAGAAGCAAACGTGACAAGCGGAAATCGAGAAACCAATGGGGCATGCACATGAGGAGTCAAATCTAGTGGAGGGAATGGTGATGAGATGAGGGGAAGGTTGCATGGAAATGCTTCAGACGAGTTAAAAGTTCCTCCTGGATGTTCATACAGCCAATCAAGCACTCGTTTCCTGGTGAGAAAGGTGGGCGAGCTCTTTTTTACCGTTTTCGAAGTCCTCTCCCCATTAGTATCGATATGTATTCACTTATCATGAGTTTGACCCGCAAAGCAAATGTCTTTGAGAAAGTGTTTCGCTCAATTTATTACGTATTTTGAATGTTGACACTATTGATTTCAAAAGTACTGAGAGCGAACAGTAGGATGCAATACGCTACGAAGCCATAAATTGCCTTGTTGAAAAAGGTCGTCGATCGACTATTACAGAAACCTACCATAGACCGAGTAGCACATCTCAAGAGGCCATCGAGAGGTAGACTTACTGATAATTATATCTCCGTGGGATTTCAATTCCTACTTCTCAATGATGACCACGATAGAGTGTTTTGCATCGACCTCTTCATTGTGCGATACACTCCAAGCTACGACGCTCACAATCTGCAAAAAATTGTATCCGAGTGCATTTAGAATCATCCGTCCTTGCAAGAAGTACTGTACGTCGCTGAAGGGAGCAGACAGGATTTAATTCATGTCAAGCATATTTTGTTAATAAATTGAAGATAATAATGGGAGAAAATGAGCAGAACAGTGATAGAAGAAAAGAGCTGTGCTGTTCTCGAACCAACCGTCCGGAACAAATGGCCTACGGAACTCAACGTAACGTACCTCCTCCGAGCTAAGAATGAGAGTAGCCCTCCTAAATCAATGACTGCTGATCACCAATCACCAAGTACAACTTCCTGTTTCAACATATTGAAAGTCATTGAAATGTCTGGAAATTTTTCTTAGAATCTGGCGTACACTCTTTCTCCGTATTCCTATTATTACTGTACTACTTTAGCAGTTGAGGCGTCCCGTTCCTCGCCTTTCCCACCATCATCGAGTTCTCCAGCACGCACGTGTTCCATCGACTGGAACACTTCCTTCGATGTCTCCCAGAGTCCGGTGATTAATACCAGATTCGAATGAACAGTTTTATACAGCAGTCCAGACAAGGAACACTCTGGTCCATATGAGTCTCTATCCTTCTCATTGCACGGGGAGCCTAGGGTGACTGCTGTCATGAAGTAAAGCAGGTTTCCTCTGCACTGTAGCAGCATACATGTATCGCATCACTTTCTACATGGTGGACGATTTGTTACAAAAGCTGTCCTCCGATTGAACTTTTCCTCCTTTGTATATTTATCCCGCAGGAAGCAGGTAGTTGAATAAAACTCCGTGTCCTTTTTTTTCCTTTTTCTCTTCCTGAGTGTCCTTCTGAGAATCGGCTGGAGTTCTTCGTTACAGACCAGTGGTCAATTCATTTATTTGGTATGTATAACATTTGAATCTACGTAGATCACGGAACTTGCAGTACTCTGCTCTCTTCTGCATATTTCTTCATTATAGTTCTCAATGTTAAAAATGTGATCTTTTTAATTATTACGTCAATGACGAGGTATGGACGAATGCAAACATCTGAACTTAGATCCACGTTACGCGAAGGTCCGAACTCTGACTCAAAGCTAACAGCAAGAAAGTGTGCAATTTTATAATAAGAGATTACACTAATGTGCTGACATGGTGTTAAAATGAGTTTTTCCATATTTATAAATATCATTGGAATTCCTTGGATTTGGGGTCCATGTATTTTTCTTGACTATAGACCATGCGTTGAAACTGCAAGAAAATCGGCTCTCGTTAATGCCTCTGGTTTCACTGATCCGGTCCTGCGGAAAAAAGTCTTCATTCAAGGTGGTATGTGCGGGTCAAGTTGGCGAAGCATATCAACACACCGCGGATAATAATAACAGTAGCTTACAATCTAAGTTACCAAATAGGAAACATGTGCAGTACTATGATTGAGTCCAATCATATCAAATTGTGTTTTCTATATTCAGTAGTCACACAAAACTTGTCTGATGCAAGAGCAATCAAGGTCTAGTTATAAAGCAAATGCAAAATTTATTTATATACAAAGTCTCTTGCAGTCATGAGCAGCAGGACTAGATATTCATCAGCTACTTCTTTTGTCCCCTGTTCCTTAAAGCCCGAGAGAATTGATCTCAACAATATTTCCAAGATTGCACCTTGAATAACCCACCTGTCGAAAGAACCAAAAAGACTGATGAAAGTGATAGAACCTAGAAGTGAGCTCACAGTGAAAACAAAACCCAGGAGCTCATATTTTAAGAAAAGTCAGTTCCTTTATCTTGTAGAAGAATTTTATTGTTTCAACGTGAAAATATTGATCTCAGCGAGAAAGAGAGAACATGGCTACAGGCCCTAGGTTGATTGGATGTACACAGGAGCGGGTACCAATATAAAAACAACATTACAACCGACCTAGGTGTTACTGTAACTACGAAATCTCTGTATAGGAGACTGTGAAAGAAAAGCGGAAGGAATGGGGCATACCTCATGTCGAGGTCCGGTGATATCCGATGGGGATGGGGTGGGCTAGCTGGCTGGCTGTGGCTGGCGAGCAGGACGAGCACAGCACAGCAGTAGTAGCGGAGGTAGGTGACGCCCAGAGCCAGCCAGCCAGCAAACAATGTCAGGGAGGGTCAGTAGGAGCGTAGCAGCAGTAGGAACAGCACTGGAAGTAGCAGCGGAAGAAGAACCAGGAGAAGAACAGATGAAAAGATTTTCTCTTGCTGGGTTCTGCAGGACCTGCTGCCGCTGCCTGCGCTATACCATGTCGGTTTTCTCGCTCGCTCGCTCGCACGATCCGAACATTCTCCGCCTCGTCCTAACATCACCTGCGTGTTTGTGTGCTGTGCAATGAAGAATCAACGTCCATCCCCGCCTCCCCCTCCCCCCCCCCCCCCCCCCCCCATGTACCGCTCTTCTCCTCCCAAGTCCTGGGTAATTTCCATGGCACCAACAGCTGAGGCTAGGATGGGAGGGACTCGGATGGCCGCGAGATCGTGAGTAACGAGAAAGTCCTGTCTGAAGTCGTGTCTCACTCCCACCTTACAGTAGCTGTCGATAGCCCCGATATAGTCATACTCTAATAACTCTACAGACTTATTTTCTTTCCCGATGCCCCAGCAGACCAGATCCATATGTGGACAGATGGAAGGACCCGGTTCTCCTTGATAATCATCGGCTGCGTCACCGCATGTTTCGATTCTCTTCAGTTGATTTTGGGGAGCGACTATATCGTATCACGCCTCCACACGACTCAACCACAACACACTACACAAATCCAGCTACTATAGTTCATCGACAGGTTTGAATCTTTGTGGGATTCCTCAATATCAGGACTACAGAGGCTTGTCGTCAAGGGGCTGTTCCCCGGAGCTCTCCGAAAGTCTTACACTTACCAGCAGTGCTCTTTATCACCACCGCACCCGCGTTCTTTGGAACCCCACATTGGGACAGAGAGCAAAAGCCGGCGATGACACCTTTCCCCGGATTCCTCCGCACTGATTCGGCACTGATTCGGCAGCGATGCCATGCAGTGCCAGAGCACTCGTCCTTGCATCAGCGAACGCTTCCCCTCTCCTCCCTCCCCTCGCCCGCACTGTGCTGATGATTATCCACCTCCAGTGGCCACATCGCCTCTTTATGGCAACCCCCACCCCCAGCCTCCAGAGGCATCGCCACGCCCTCCGCTTGTCTCGTTTTCAAAAAATCCAGGCGCCCGGCTCCATCGCCATGCCCAACGTCTTCCTCTCCCGGCCCTCACGACGGCTAGATGCTGTACCGCACCTTCTCCTTCCGGTTCCATCCCACGCCATCACTGGAATGAGGTCGCAGTCAAGACGCCGGCCGGCAGAAGACTGGACGACTTCTCCAGTAGCCCCTCAACCCCAAACACGTGCGACTGGCCTGAAGCGGCTCGGTCACAGCGAAGCGTGACAGTACCGTGGGAATTTCCACGGTACAGTGCAGTCCGCTGTGGGCAGGTGCGGGGTGCAGAGCCTGCACTCTCGCGCGGGCTATAAGAACTTGCTCCCCGAAACCGCCTCTTGCCGGTGAGTGGACTTCGAACTTCGGTCTTATCTAGGAGGGCGCCCCGGGAGCCATCACCGGCCTGGGGCCGCGGGCGACGTCTACCATTTTCTTGATAAGTACTAGCGCGCCGGATTCCCGCTGAATAGTCGTCGTGGACTCACGGACCGATCGAGACGCTCATGGAATTCATGCATTCAAAGTTCAAAGTTCAAAGTTCAAACCGTCCGCTCCCCACTTTCCTTTCCATAGATCACTTGCGCACTTTCCATCCTTCCCGGATCGCCTGCCGTCCACCGCTTTCCAGCGTCCGTTGCTGCAATAAGCTGCTACGTCGACCTCGGCTGTCCGTTATCGGAATCAAATCCGGCCCTCGATCGGAAAGTCGTCATCGTCGACGCCGTCGACGCCGTCGTCGTCCATGGCCTGGCCCTGTCTGTCTGGCCTCCTATATCCGCCGGATATAGGAGTACGCTCCACGCTCCCACGGCACGAATAGGTGGAATCTTGCCACGAATCGGCCGGATCTAAGATCTGCAACTGTTTCCCACACGCACGAAATCCATCGCACGGTCGCCGGTGGCTCCGTTCCGTCACTGCCGTGGACCGTGTACCGGCAAGAGCCCAACGTGAACTGTGATGATTTAAAATACTGTACAGGGTAGTCAATCAGTGAATCAATCGTCCGACCCGGTTTCTGAGAACCTGCTGCGTCAATGAATATCGGATCATTACGGGGACACGGTCAGGGCATCGGGATCCGTCCGCCCCGTGGATGTCGTCCAGAGTCCACCCCGCCCGTCCGCGGCCTGCGGCTGCCTCCACCTGGTGCCTGCCCCGCCTGGCTCCTTGATGGCGTCGAGAAATGATAAAGCGGAGGCACGGAGTGCACTTTCGATGCTCGGCTGAATGCGGGATCCGAAGCCATGGCATCGCGGGCGCGCGGGCGCTAGCTTGTCGCCATCAACTGTCCGATGTCTCGCATGAGCTGCAGAAATAAAGCCGACGCAAATCCGCTGCCATTGGTGGGGGGGAAGGTTGTGTTGCTGTTCGAGAGGATCGAGGCGACCTGTTGCTGGCCCAGTGGCCGAGAGTGTAGAGCCACTGGTGCTGCTGCAGTGGCTCACGAATCCACCGTTTTGCAAACGGACAGGCATCTGCTCCCTTCAAGGACGCCGGCCCAATATCCTGCCGGGGATTCGATGCCCGCCTCGCCGATCTCTGCCTTTCCCGGCTCACTCTGACCCGACGTCCTGCCGGGATCGCATGCCCGCCGTCGTTCTCTTTCCGGGAGTCAAACCCCGACTCGATCGAGTCGTGCGCCCTCGGCGAGTCCTCTCTTCGTCGTCTTCTGCCAGATTGTTGTCGACGTCAAACTCCACGATTCTGCCACCCTCGCCTCCCGTCGTACCCGTCGCATAGTCACCCTTCTCCTGTCGACACGCAACCCGAGACTCCCCCCCCCCCCCCCCCCCCCCCCCGACTGACAGTTGAGAGAGCGCTCGCCACCCGCTGCCCCTCCCTCTTTCATCCCCCTCTATGTGAACCGCTTCGGCTTCGCTAAATGTTTCTCTGGCTTTTTTCAGCGCGTACGTCCTTTTGGACACCTACACGTGGGCCTTTTCACTGACACGTCACCGGATAGCAGAGCGCAAAGGCTCTTTTGCACGTCCTTTTCCTCGCCCTGCCTCGACGACCCACATGTCTGAAAACATTCGACTCGTCCTCCGCAGGGGTTGACAATGTCGTAACAGTTATAGAGCGCGACTGTCCTGGTGCTCGCTTCGATCTGAAGCCACTCATCACTCCCGTGGCCTTGGCTCTCGTTAAAAACCACATCTCCATTGCGGAGAATCGTTCCTTTTGGAATACAGATAAATACTGCTTCTCCCAATCGTTTCATTCTTGGGAGAATCTGCAAAAGCACCAGCGAGCGGGCCGATGGCGAAGAAAGCCGAAGAAGAGACTCTCGATGCGATCGGAGTTCGACCTCTCTCGCTCGCCCGCCCTCTTTTGCGTCTTTCCTGCTTCCGATCCGATGAGATGAGCAGAGAGGGCGCGGGCGCGCGGGCGGGCGGATGGCATAGAAAGATTCATCGCCCCCACAGAGCCGTACAAGACACGTTCTGCATCACAGGATGGGAGGGATGCATTTTATTTAATTAAAGAGTGTGTAAGGAAAGTCAGGCCTGGCCGCGCGCTTGGGCCAGGTCAACTGTTGTGTAGTGTAGTTGGCTCTCCGCGCCTCTCTCTCTCTCTCTCTCTCGAAAAGCGTCGATCCAGTTGGGAGATGGACGTACTCTTTGTAGAACTTTGATTGGGCTGTGCGTAGATAGATAGGTTCATGACTGAGGGCCCCGACGGATGAGATTGTTAGAACCCCAGGACAGATTTTTTCTTGATCTCTTTATACCATCAATGAGCAGAACCGGTGGCGACGATAGAAAGGGGCCGGGGACGGGAGAGTCATGTAATTTAGTCAGTCCAGAGTCGCTTCTAGATAAGAAGAAGCGGAAGAAGAATTCGGATTTTCATCGATGTCAGAATCAAATCCCTCGAGTTTCCGCCGAAGTCAGAGAAGCAGGTGAGATCTTAATAACTCTACCTGGCTTTCTCCTCATCCGCAGTAGCAGCAGGAAGCAGCAGCTCTGCTGCTGCTGCTTCCTTTTGTTCTTAAGCACAGAGGTCGGCAAATCACGCGCTTATAAAGAACCTAACCTTGTGGTCGCCCCATAGGCCAAGGAATGTATAGTACTGTGCAGCATGTTTTGGGTTGTCAGCATGATGGACTGGTGCTTTCTCGTGAAAGAAGAATCAAACACCCCACAATGGACTTAGTGAATCTCCAGTTCTGAATGATGAATATACTAGGGCACCAGAACGCATGGAGGCAAAGAGTTGACAAACAAAAGGGGGTTGGGGTATCTGGAAGTCTCCACAGTTGGCTAACGATTTTAACCTGCAATGGGTTCTCAAACTCCAAAATCAACGGAATTCGTTGGCTCTGAAGTTAATTCTGAAGAAGGAGAGTACACATAAAGTATGTATACCTTCGCTAAGGGAATCGAGTATCTCATTCATGGCATGAAAAACGATCATTGCGAATGATATGTTGGTGGGTACTTCCGTGTTTCGGCAACCTTTTGGCCCGGCATGAATGGTCAAATATTTCGCTTTAGAGAGAATTATCATCTGCTTTTCTCCGGGGCTGGCACTAGACCCAGCGATGTTCACCGGGACGCTCAACGAGTTGGAGTAGGGTATAGGCCATTGACATCTTAAGGCTGGTCAGACCAGAAGGTAGCTTTGTTTTGTTATCCACAACCATTGTCAAGTTGTAAAAGGTATACCTTTTCTCGTTCTATCTCGATACCATCATCTAAAGCTTCCAAACCGAGAGTTTAGAAGAACCGAGCAAACGTGCATTGGGGCACGGAGACTATCAATGAGACCCGGCTTTCTAAAAGGGCCTCTTTATTCCTTCCATCTCCCCTCCTCCCCCTCCCCCCCATTCCTTCTCTCTCTCTCTCTCTCTCTCTCTCTCTATCTCCACCCATTCTTTTCTGGAACAGGAGCAGTAGAGGAGTAGAGCAGTACCATATCTCCTATCCTTTCTCGGAGCGGATAATATCATCTCTGTAAGAAGTTACAGAATCCCGGGCAGATTCGTCACAAGCTTTATTGGTTAATGACCTAGGATTCGTTGGATTAAAATCGCGGAGTATCGCTCTGGGAACGACAGAAGTAGGAGTTTCCCTTCCTTTTCCCCAGTATAATGATGGGAGAGTTCGTTGGCACAGCTTTAGTTTTGTCTCTATTACCTGGACATCGAGGTTTGTCTTTCTTTTCTTTCTCCTGCGATGACAACTCGTCTTTCTTGGCGAGTGCTTGCCGGTGACTCTGCTGTGACGATGATCAAAGGGTCCTTTTCAATAACATGCGTTGTATGGAGCTTCTTCAAGCTACAAAAATTAACCGTAATCGACCCTCGAAAACGTCACACCATGCCTGCCCTCGATTAAATTCTCATCCATGTATCATCGACTGAGAGGTTTGCGATAAAGTTGTCATCGATGGAGGAGATTTATCAAACTCTCATTGACCGATCCTGCCACGCTACCTACCGTAGTCTCCCCTCGCCCAGGCTGCGTTCGGTGTCCCTCCCTTCCATTTCCAGGAATGAAACAAATCCCCGGCCAAGTGGGACATACAGTACTGGAACGAGAAGAAAAGATTTGAAGATAGATGTACCGGTAAGCCCAGTTGGTTGGATTTGGTAGAATAAAGGTCTCCTGCCTGCCGGGCTTCTGGACTATTATTCAGTGGTGCAAAAGTAACACACATGGAGGATGGAGGAAACAAATACCGGAGTCTGCACGAGCTGTACCGTATTGCATGAGCTGAGAGAGGAGCGTAGCGTAGGTCGGGCGGGGGGTCAGGTGCGAACAGTGATTTCAGGCAGCATCTGATGCTCTCGCCCCCGACGGAGGGAGGGAGGGAGGGAGGGAGGGAAGGTGGAAGGTGTGAGGCTACTTCGTACAAGAGCCAGATGTGCATGCGACAAAAGGTGCGCATCAGGGTTCTCTCGCACGTAAGTTCTTGTGGAGAATGTTCTCGCCCGGTACAAAGACAGGCCAGCATTGAATGCCTGCGAGCTCCTGCTGCTGCTGGAGCCTAAAGCCTGTCGTCGCGCAGGGAAAGCTTGGGAAAAAGCTACGAGATAAATCGCATGGACTTGTCGCCGGGATCCAATTGGACAGCAACTTCAGATTACAAATTTTTCCTGGAGAAAGTAGAGATCATCCCCACCCCACTTATCGAAACATTATGATCGGTCGTTTTCTGCGATTCTTATTCCTCAATAGGACAAACGACACGATCACATCTGTGTCTGGCATGATGAGCTCGGCTCACAGGGGAAAAACAGAAATTCTTACCTCCGTCCCACTCCCCAAATTCCCCCAAAATCGTCGACTGTATCGGTTATTCGTTCCGGTAGCGACATCGTTCCACTAGCCGACAAAAGAGGTGGCTCCCTGGAGCATGGTGCAATAAGCCAAATTTTATCACATCAAGCACGGATCGAAGGGAGTGACCGGTCTCGCTCCATCGTCATCCGCCCTCGTTATTCACCGCGCACTCGCGGACAAGCGACATGACCAGCCGGGCGAAGGTCGCAGTGTCCGCTGGTCTCATGCGAGATCCAGGTTGGAAAAGCGGGGAAACTTTAATATTCGTACCATCGATATCTACAAGTTGGTGGAAAAACCGGCCGAATCGCATAAATGAATAAGAAAACAAAATTCATTCAAAATCTCCCCCGTCCCTTTTGTGATTGCGAACTTCAACGCCCTCATCCCACATGCGCGATTCCTCCCCCGCGTTGCGACAAACGACATGATCACATACGTCGTTTTTGGCATGCGAGGTCCTCTTCTCGATGGCACCTCACCCCCCATGAGACCAGACGCGCTCCCAGGCTCGGGCCGAGGCCAGGAGACCCGGCTCGGCTCGGCTTCGGTTGAGTGACCTAGGCACTCTTTCCGAGCTAGGAATGCGCTAACAGCATGGTCCATGTCACATACTATTTCAGTAGATATACCTACGCACGTGCCATAACATAGTAGACCAAGCCGGTTTGTCCCATTAACCATGTTCTTGTGCTCTAGCTGTACTCACTAGATATCGTAGCCAAAAGCCACGACCTAACATCGATCTTCTGCAGCGTCCGTGCTCGGAGGGGGAGGGCCATGGACGCATGGCATGGCATGGCATGGCATCATGGAGCCCGAGGGTCTTGTGGTGTACGAGGGCGCTCTATGGCAACGATGGCATACGGAAGGAAGAATGGTTCAACTTTTGCATTGAAGAATCAAAGTCAGTGACTGAGTGACTGTCTGATTGATTTGGCAAATCTTTTGGCTCCAGCCCTCGTCTAGGACGAGGTCGCTTCTAGGTATCGTCTCCATCCCGTCTCAATTATCACCTGATTACCTGTTCACCAAGTCACACGCCGTACCTCATCCCTTCCCTCTCTCCCCTGTTACAAGACAAGGACACTGATGCCCTCCCCTCCCTCCTATATTATAGTTCGTAGCTGTTGCCCCTTGAGCTAGCTTCTTGCGAAATCATTGGACCTTGACGTTGCAGGCCGCGAGCTGATGTGAACTCTGTCCTCGCTGGGAGAGGGTTGAAGATTAGCCTGTGACCTAGAGATCACACATATTAAAACCAAAGTACGGTACATGATTTGCACTGACGCTTTTAGTGCAGAGCAGATAGTGCATGAGCCTGGAAAATCATGGGCCAGTTTCGAAACGAAACTTCCCGACTTTCATCGTCGGTTTCGTGAGGATCCAAGCCCCAGGTTGGTGTCAATGTTTTCTAAATCTAGGCACCACGTTCGTGCACTGTCAATCATATCAGACGCTTCAAGCACATGATAATTAATCTATCAATTATGTGGTATCATTTATTTGACGTTGAACTGGACCATCGGTTCGGCAGCTTCTTGCATATTTCTCGTTTTTCTATTCCGAGTTACATTCTTTCCCATTTCTGAAACAGCAGAAGTTGACTTCAGACACGCTGTAACACCAGATGTATCAATAATTGATTTCGAAATAATCCTGTGACCAGATGATCAGGCGTTGTGCATTTTAGACGTATATTTTCGAGACGCATGATGCACCTGCATTGGAGTGACCAGCCACCTCCTTTACAGTTAACGGCTTCTTTTCACAGCCGTGCCTTAAAAAGAAGGAACTCTGTAGCTCTAAATTTTAACCTTTGCATTTCCATTCAGCCTCAGGAAAAACATCAAAAGTACGTTCACCAAGGTTTCGCTAAAGTGCTGGCCAGGAGTTCAGAAGACTACTCCTCCACCTCCGGCCCCACTCGAAGAACTCAAACCACGCTCTCCTTTTCAGCTCGACTCAGATACGGCGACGTACTCTCACTTCGAACCTCTTTCGAACTGTACGTCAACCTCTTTTGTGTTGAAAATTGCAGGAGGGGACTAGACATCACATCTTATAAAATTGCTTTGCTACGCACTTTTCGCGGCAACGAAAGTTAAAAGGCGACGCTTTCTCGAGTAAACAAACAATGGCTCTCTGTCTACGAACTTCGCAGCATAGTAGAAGAACTTTTGAATCGTCTTGGGCGGTATGGTAGAAAATGACAGCCTCAAATCTCCTATCTTCTGCGTCGGTCTTGCCCTTCGTGATACGTTGAATGCTTGTTTGTTTGTTTGTTCCGTCTGCTCACTTATTTTCATTCCGGTCTTCACTGACCCTCTCGATTTGGCTTTCATCCGCTCTTGGCTCTCGGACTCCCCTCCTTGTGCTACGTGGCGTCTTGGCCGTCAGCGTGGATCGACTTATGACGCGTCTGCACGAAGTGCTAGAGGCAACACGCAACACCATGAGCATCACTCTATAAAAGCCCATGAGAAACTAGAAACATGTTTCTGGAAGGCGACACATGACCCAGGGCGGATAATGCACCAAAGGAAACGGCCCCTACGTTCAGGACAACGCCTGAATGATCGGAGGAACGATCGGGCGGAGAAATGCGGAGGTCTCGCGAAGGCGGTTCGCGGATGGAAATCAGATGAGCCGGGAAGCGAACCGCTGGTCAGGGAGTGGCCGAACCCGAGGGAAGAACCTGGAAGGCGTTGCAGAGGAAACGCGGCAGCTGACAAGAACCGCAGGAGAGGGACACCAGGCGACGAGATCATCCAAAACGGACACAGAATCCCAAAAGGTGCAGAACCTGTACGACGAGAGAGAAGGAAGTCAGAGGCAAGGAAAGTAATGTACAATTTTTGTCAGAAGCGAAAAAGCATGTGGAGAAAGCTACGTACGCAAGCCAAACTGACCGGAAGTCGTACCCGATCAACGCACAAGAGAAGGAATACACCAGATCATAGATATGATGGACCTTCCGATGACGCTCCGAAACCTCCTCCTCCTCCTCCTGCACAGTCCTTGAAGTTCACGGACCCAGAACCCAGATTCGGAGGCAACCGTGCTCGTCGGCTCTGGAACCCGAGTCCTGGAAGAGGTGACATTGCCGCCGTTGGCAAAAGATACAGTGCCCGAAGAAGGGACAGTACAGTACAGCGTTAGGCGAAAACAAGACTCGTCATTTGTTCTGTGCTGTGCTCTGAATTCCTCCTGGCCATCAAGTGGCGGCATGGCGGATCATCACACGCAAGAAGCTCCTACAGACCGTCTGCTGAACTGATCAATCTGGATTGCTTTCTTAATCCTGTTGAGTCTTTTATTCTATACAACTCGGCTTGTATTTTCTTCTAGACCTCTACTGGGATACCTTGCAATTCATTTCTCCTCCCCTAAGGCTTCATTCTCAATAGGATCTAGTGATATAGTGAGCAGTTTCTGTAGGGAGAGTAACACATAAATTGCACAATCAATAATGCATTAATTATTCTTATTTGATTGCTTTCTTATTTGATTCGAGAGTACAAAATTGATGTTCCAAACCTGGTGGTAATTGGACCTACAATTGACGCTATTCCAAAGTGTTGATTATCCATTCTTGGATTTTAATCAAGTGTAGCTGCAATAGCGAAGCTAATTTGATAATTTAATCTTATTTCCTTGTTACTCGATAGGCGATAAAGACTAGACCCTAGAGTGATATAAACCTCTGGACTCGACTTTACTATGTTCTCAAGAGATTTTGGAAGAACCTATTAGATCATTATACCCAAACTAGGTCACATGTATCCATTATACTGCATAAGTCAATAACTTTTTTATACATAAAAATGCAATTATGCTAGGTGAGGTTTTCTCAAGTGCAACATTTTTATATATTATTTTGCAATTGATTTGAAATATAAAGATATAGTAGTTACAGTGTGATGACTTCTTCCTTTCCTTGACCCCTCTTCTTCTTGTCCAGTCTCTTGCTGTCGTACTTAGGAAAATCCCCCCACAAACTTCGTACCAATCTCATGATAATACCTCTATTGGTGGTCCTCGACTCTATTTTCTCCTACTCTCCACAACTTGGAAGTCCACGTTCTTGTCAATTTCGATAAACTTCCGCTTTGCATTTTGGCTTTCAGCAAGCAAGGTCTAATCAGCTGGCCAAATGTACTCTCTACATGTACATGTCTGCAAGTTAGGAGTGTCGATATTTCTCTTGTGTAAATCAATTTCGACATTCATGGGTCGAACAACACATGAGTGTGTTTTTATGATTGGATCAAATAACTATACTAATAGTTACAGTGGTGTAGTTAATGATAATCAATTCATCTATTCTCTATACTTGCTATGAATGAGTGGCGCGAACCTAGTGGAGGCATGCTTTTTGGTAGTGACCATCTCCCCGAGAACATCCACCACTGCATCTCACGCATTCATTTGGATTTTGCAGTGCTTGAAGACAGAGGTTGTTGAAAATTTAGTTCCATAGTTGATAGTAGTATCTCTGATACCAAAGATATTATGAACATCATAACAGCTGGCTAGAACATCCTGAAAAGTGTAGATATTTTTTGAAATGATCATCAAACGAAGCTCAGTAAAGTTTCCACATTCCTCCCATCATTCTCGACTTTGCCAAACTACAAAACTCAAGCATCATAAGAGAATTGTCTCATGGTCCAATTCCAATTATCAATCTTCTTGATATCTCATAAGTTCGAAAAGACATTGAAGTTTTAATCTACTGCTAACAACTCGGTTGGGTAGAAAACTTTCGAATAATCAGTAAATAGAAGCTTTCACCCATCTGACTAAATTGACCATGGGGCAAACACATGTGCGCATTCTAGGTTTCTAGAAAGAGTTTGAAGTTGAGATTTCTAGATTTGTTTCATCCAATTGTTTTTGTGTATGCAAAAACAATTGGATTTTGCCGCAGCTAACCTATCTATTTGTATTCAATATAATTGCATGCCTACTTCAACTACTCTTTCTGAAATGGCAATGGAATTTCAATCCATTTGAAAGCTCAGTCATTACAGTTTGCTAATTTATCTTGAACACACCTCAATTTTCATTGTAATTCAGGTATATGTAATTGTGATGCCATCCTCATATGAAGGATGCCATCACAATTAATATAAGTGAATGATACATCATTTTTTGAAGTAATTTTCAAAATTGTAACAAATTTTGACTATTCCATAATCTTATAAACATCAAAACAGCAAATCAAGTTCAAATATATATTTGCATTTGTAAATGCAATGTGATGTTCAAATCAAGTTTTGTTAACTAACAAACTCATGTCACCAGTACAACTCAATTTAAAAGAGTCCAAAATTTGTCAATCTGATGGACATGTTGCATTTGACTCACAAGGAAGTATCTATTATCTTTTTTTCTACATGTCATTTTCATCAGATGGCAGTGTGTTCATTCAGTTAAAATTAATTCATGTCAATTACTTGTTGGATGTTGTTCTATACAAATGGTTTGTTAGAAATGTGGCTAGAGTGGTCACGTCAACAATCATTGTTATCTGAAAAAAAAGGTTGATTCTCTATTGATCAATGTGATTCAAGAGTTTGACCCGGAAAAAATGATTGCTAGAAGATGGATTATGATGCCATAAATATGCTATATGCTTTTTTTTAAAGATTGTTGTTACATTTAAATATATATGCTTGTGCTTATCCCATATATTCAGACATGATTATTTTAGGCAATCGTATACCCAGGCGTCTAAATTACCTAAATCTACACTACCTTTGGCGCCTAAATCAACCAGCGTATCTACACTCTTATTGGTTCATAGTTGAAGCGTGATAGATCAGGAGATCTTAACCAGTTTGTTACCACTTCAGTCCCATAGGTCACCATGGTCAAAATCCGGAGTTGTAAAATGAATTTTCTTTTCTCAATAATCTCACAGCCCGATTGCAAGCATTAACACTCTCTCTTGCGTTACTTTTGAATCCTTCATTAGTTTTCAAATGCACTCGAGGTGATTTTTAGCACAAAAGCGTTTAAATTACCTAAATCAACTTTCATGAAGCGACTAAATTAAACGTATTTAGGTGATTTACGCTACCGCCTAATATAACCATGTCTACATATGTTACATTATAGAGTTATCCTATACTTTTTCAAAAACTTTTGTACCTTTGGGAAATCAAATTGTAGTATTGAAAGTATCCAATCTATTAAGCTTCAAATGTTGATGATCTTCAACGTCTATAGATTCAAGTTAAATTTTAACTAATATATTGAGGAAAAAATACGAGGAAAAATATTGAATCTAACATTCCAAAAATTTGATTTGGAATGTTAGACTCAAAAAGTCTTTAATGGAACTTAGCGTTTGAGGTGAAAGTAATGTATATAAAATGTTGTTTGAAGTTCATAAACACAACCATTTATATTTGCTAAAGAGCATCTGCGTTGAAGTCAACTAAACTAAATCTTGATATGATATGTGTCATGTGTCACATTCTAGGCTATAATACATGAATAATATATTTTTATCTCTCCTGCGCGATCTTATCTATCATATTTGCAGTTGATAGAAAGTTTTGCAAATATTGTTTTATGGACAAGCATCATAGACAAGCCTTTGAAGTTGGATTTTAGTGTTGCAAAGAGCTATTTGAGTATTAGTGTACACTCCTTCTAAAGCAAACAATTTCTTGATAATATTTGATCTAAAGCACAAAATAATGGCTCATTAAAGTCATTTAAGAATCTTTGATTATATGATTTATACTCTCGTACCTAAACGAATATGATTAAGATGGATACTGTATCCAAAAAATGTCATTTTTGTGAATATGTCATTGATGTGAAGAGTTATAAGCAATGGAACCCAATAGCGTGTAAAGTTATTGTGAGTTAAATTTTTATTTTAATGAGACTAAATCATTGAAAGAGAAGAAAAAAAACTCATATCTTTTTATGATTTAAATTTTCATTGATTGTAAATAAGTGTACAAATTATTCAAATCATCATTATTTAATGTTGATTTTTACTTTAAATGATGTTTGAATAATCATTTGAGTGAAATCAAACATCACATCTTGATCAACTCAAAGTATTGAGTTGATCAAGATACATGATGAATTCAATTCAGTTACAAATAAATGATGGATAACATAGTGAAACACATTGATATCAAGTATCATTTTAGAAGACATGCAGTTTCTAATAAAAAAATTGAGCTAGTCAAGATTCAAAATAAATTCAATATAGTTACAAATCAAGTGATGAATAGTAGAATGAAATACATCAATATCTAGTATCACTTTATCATACATACAATTTTCAATAAAGGTGTTGAGCTAGTAAGATTGGTAGTTAATTCAATACAACTGATGAGTTCATTAAAGTTACTTCTTTCAAGAGCTTGATGAAATATTATGCAGGTTTACAAGAGTAGCTCGAGGAAAGTACACTAGTAATTTTAATTGTTTTTATATATTTGTACTCTATCATTTTTTTACTACGTATTAGTTCGAGTTAGCTCTAATTTAAGTGGCCTTTGTTAAATTTTCTTCTAGAAATTCTCTCACAATAATTATAGAGATTAAGTAGAGAATAGTGTATTCGACATGTATAGGAATAGATTGTTAGGTATAATCATTGTCAAACTTTTATTGTACATAAGTTTAAGATCGAAGTTGCAAACATTTGTGATTAGTTTGAATGCTCTTATCTAATGGATCAAACTTTCATATGTATCATACTTTAATGTATAAAATAAAAAATGGCATAATTTTAAGTTCAAGTTAAATTGATATATGTCTCAAACATAATTAAAATTTGATGACTATTTGATGATCTATTATAAGAAGTATAAAAAGTTTTGGATCTAAAATTTAATCTTAAGTTGGAAATTTCAGCTTTAAATGTAATATATGTAAATTATCAGTTTTTTTCTTGCTTTATTTAATATTTTTATCTTGAAAGAAATTTTTATTTTTAAAATTTTTATATATTTGATAAGAAAAATTGTATTTAATTTGATTTTAGTTCATCAAATTATATATGTAATATTAAAAATATCGCTAAATTTTAATTAATTAATTAATTAATTTGGGAAAATATTTTTAAACATTATTGTGAGAAGATTAGAATAACATAAAGTGCACATGTGAGAGAAATTATATTTCTGAAAATTTTCATTTTACATTTCTTCTTATTATTATATAAGAGAATTATAATATTTTTACCACATAAAGTAGTATGTACTATTTACTCTCATAATTACAATACTCGTACTACAAGTCTAATTATAAAGAAACATGCAGGTGAATTCTATCATATTTATATTACAATTTTTTTTGTGTACTATTCCCAATACACCAATCTGAAGAACATCACATGTAGTATTGATAACCATATTTACTTGGTGTTTTGAATCATATCTAGATTTACCGTAGCTCTAGTCAACTAGAAGACAAAATAATTTTGTACATAAGATATCAAGACTTACATGTCATCATAAAGACAAAGTAATGGAACACTTTACTCTTCACTCTCAGGGAAGTGAGAATCATGTGAACATGTCTTACATCAAAAAAACTTTCATTATCAAACATGAACAATCAAAATAAGTAACTAGTCACATGGACACATGATCAATCTAAATCAGTGACACATTTTTGAAAGTAGACGTAGAAAACAAAGTCAGAAATTCATGGATATAAGAAGCCAATTGGTTTTTTTTTTAAAATTGATATCATCATAAGCATGTTTTCAAAACGGCATGGAATCATGTGTAGAGTTGAAAGGACACGGTCTCGCTTTTGCATTGACAAGTGGTTCATGGGTTCTAGATCTACTTCTGATGTACAAGAGAAGTTCTTAAAGGATCAACTTCCTCTTTGCGTGCAATGACGAACACGCGCAGCCACAGTTCTCGAGAATATACACCACGAATTCAGCGTGTTTTTAAAATCTGCAAAAATGCAGACGAGTACATGCACGGTTCAGGTCAGCCTTGTGTGACAAACCCTGAGCTAATATTGGGAAGGTGAGCTCAGACAAGCCCGATTTTGTTTGCAAGCATCTTATCATCAGATGACAAAGACAAAGCATTTGCAGAGCAGCAAGGTGGAAGGACGTGGATGAGAATAGATTGGAGCATAACACATGCCAAGACCGCAGAATAAAACCATTTCCTCGCAAGCATGTTACAAGGGGTGCGCTCTGAGGTGCGTACCTTTCCTGGAAATCAGATTCCTATACAAAGTCAGAAGCAGTGAACGGGGAACAGCACATTGCGATCCGGTCGATGGATGGATGGATAGACGCCATCAATGCAATGCATCCATGAACCGATGATGTGATACGGTCGATGGCAGGCAGGAAGATGTACAAAGCTCAGAAGCACGTCCTGGCCCTGTCCACGGGGTCTCACATACATACGCTTAAGACACACTACGACTTAGGTTGCCGATCTTTGTCTTTTGTGCTGGTCATTGGTCCTTTCCATGCAAAGGTTCAGGAATTGAATAGGGTGGGTGCGTTGCTGCGCTGTAAGTCGAAGGAATCGTTAGAACCGGGTTTGAATTTTCAGAGGACATGGGAATTTCCCGTGCAGATTCAACTTACTAATAAAGGACCAGATAGGACAAGAACGTATGGCATAAACAAGTCATAGATCTCGTAAGATATTCACTGACATGGATGGGACAAGCGAGAGATCAATGCGCAAAGAAACCGACTGCGTAGCATGGGTGAATATTTTAAGAAGAGACGGAGAATGTACATCTCCTCGCGATGTATGTCTAACTTTACTTGTGGATCAAGTGTGCTTCCATCGGATGACGATGTGAAACCCAATAAATTCTCGGTCATATACTCCCTCATAATTTGGAATTCCACGAGGCATCGGTGGAAATTTCCCCGATTTGCCAGACATGATTTCGGCTTTTTAAGGAAGGAAGCCATGCGGACCGCTGGGTACTACCGAATCGCCTCAAGGCCAGTCCCTTTCCCAGAGGCCATACGTGGAATTCAGCGTAAATCTGAAACAGAGGTGGTCTGAATGGAATAAGCCGGGTTCGATCCATTTTACGAGTCGAAATAGTATGAGCGATGGCGAGAACTTTTTGTGGGCTCCAAAACAGATAGAGTCGAAAAGAGATAAGCTGTTGGGAATAATGAGCTGAATCAATCCAATTTAAGGTGGGGATAATCGCCCCCGCTCTGCCCCCTCTTTTCCCGTTCTCGATAAAAGCAGGAAAAGATAAGAAGCCAATGTTAGCATCGCACCTCCGCAAGGGTCAGGCCGAACCGATGGTTCAAACCCGAGGGGGAAAGCACCAGGCGCGGCCTAGCCAGGCGAGGGTTGTCCTTTTGCCGAAATGTTAGATGCCAATTTGGAACATGTTGTCTACGGGTCAGCAGATATTTATTCTCCAACCGGGAACCGGGCGCCCGGCGACCCGACACCGGCCGGGCCGGTGAGCGAGGCAAAAGGTCTCGGCTTGTCCAATTGCGACGTTATCTGCCCTAGGGCCACCACTTTGGTCGGTCAAGTTCTACCCTCTTTCTCTGGAGGTTCCGGATATGTCACAGCTCCGCAACACGCCAAAAGAGCTCTCCGTCGCGCCTCGATCAGACTGTCAGGCAGGTTAAGCGGATGGCCTGGAATCTCTCGCGTCTCCGATTTTCTGAAAAAGTGGAAATATATATATTCGCCCCGCATCGTGTAAAATTGGGAAAATCAAGGGGCAGTAAAGTTGGGAGTAGCTGTGTCTCTTATTATTATACATATGATTCCAGAGGCCAGACGGTCCTGCGACATGACACCACGGGCGGGCGGTTTCGGCCTTGAAACATCTCTCTACGAGAACGTGATCTCGTCTTTCTAGAACAGCACGAGGCTCCACGCACGAAGTTTCGCGACCGCATCCCGAAGTCGTGGGAGATGGGTCCTTCCCGACTCGATATTAGAACGCCGTGTTCTTCTACATTCACGACGCTCGTCCTTAGAACGCTCTGCGGAGAGCGACGCGGGAGGAAGAGCATGAGTCACAAGACGCAGCGCTGGAATGTTCTTGTAGTTCGACAATGATTTTCTCGGGCCAAATCGGCAGGCCTCTTGTAAAGAGAGCGGACGGACGACTCGATAGTTTGCCGACGAGACCGTCGGTTCCCTCAGCGAAATGCGGGGGATGGGATTCCCCGGGAGGTTGTCGCCGGGGAGTTCTAGTAACCACGCATCTCTCCTTTTTCTGTGACCATGCGCTCTGCTCAGATTTCGATGTAAGAACTACAGCCGGACTTTATGCCCTATTGCGAGCTCCGCGTTCGCCCGCGACACGGCGACGTACGTTCGCGCTCTTATCGCGAAGGGATGATGTTCCAGTGCAGAATTGAACATGTTCTTGTATCCAGAGCATCCAGAGCAAGCGTTCATAGGGAGTAGAATCTCTGCAGAAGCCGACCGGTCGTTGAGTTTCATGCACCCACAGATAGTCCATTTGCTGCAGCAGGTCAATGTCCTTGTACCATTCAGTGATCGAGCTGTTCTCGTATGGTACACGAGCCCATTGGATGTGCAGTCGTCGGAATCTGTGCTTCAAGAACACTGGAAGGGCGATCTTGGTAAACATGACCGCCTGCCGGATGATGGACCCCCTTTTAATATGTTTGTTTTCTATTTCTGTTCAGGTCTCTCTGTCAAGTGATTATAGTGACGATTCTGAGGAAGATATCGGGATAACGTAGAATTCCTGGTCCTGCGTGATTGTGACATCATGCCATGAGGGAAACATGAGCATAGTATATGCTCAACATCCACCGGTGGTTGCAAACAACTGCTATGTTGGAAGTTGCATGATCAAATTTCCTCACCCTACACATCAATCTCCATCATCGGTCAAAGCGTTGATAATTGTCACGAAGATTTTGTTCCCGTTTCCAAATAACTGTATGCTGGAAATTCTGAACGGAAACTGGAACATACTTAAGCCGAATATGTTGGTTGACAATGAGAGTTGTGTCGTATGATTATGTGTGTTTTCAGCATCTAAAACTATAAAATAGGCTTATTATTTGTAGATCACAAGGAACAAATGCTCATCAAGGACAACGTGATAATTTCAACTCCGAGGCACCCTCTGAGTACAATTAAAACTAAATATACTTGCCGTCAGTCAGAAACGTTGAGGTGTACCTCAAGTTGGCAGGTGTTCTAATAATATAGAACTATTTTGTTCCACATGTGAATTCATTATTCTCGCAAAAATATCAATTCTTCGAAATGATGTTGGCATAAGACAATCATGACGCATCGCAGTATCACTTTGTAACGCAAGCTCCGCAGATAACAAATTTACACTGTTTTCTCGGTAGAGAGCGGAAATCGAAAGGGCGTTATCGTTCCCTCGAAAGGGCACCAAATACCAACTCGACGCCGATGTTTTGGAGTGCTCTACATCTCTTAATGTTAGCAGTAGATTGAAATGTACACCAACATTTATTGATGCTGTTTTCTTTTGTGTACTATGAGGATGGAGCGAAAGCAACAGAGTATGTACTTGTACCTCATTTCTTCTCAGATGTCGTGTTCCGAACTTTGCATCTTCGAAAAGGACCGTGACGAAGTGCGAGAACGGTCTCAAGTAATTTTGGTCGCTCATGTGAGCCTCAAGCTCACATCAGCTGCTGCTGTGGGGGCTCCAGTACAGTACGTCTCGCGTTCCGTCGTTTCCAAGGATTGCTTCCACCAAAAAAACAAAAAAAAATCAGGACGAAGGTACTTCTTGCTGCGTTTTTCTTTTCCTTACAGTCCAAGAGCTTCGACTAATCATATTGTTATCTCTGATGATGATTTCTATCGATTGGCATATTACTTATATAAGCATATCATGTACATGTTCTGCTTTCAGCAATATTATTTTGTCCTCGACTCTATTTCCTATCATTTCGGCTTCTACTTTTTTAATCAGATTTTAATTCAGTTTGGTTTTTTAGAATTTAAGAGAAAAGAAATCCTCTGTTCTTCCCTTTCAAAAAGGCCTAGGTTTTTTTGATCTTTTCATCACGAAGCTTCTTTTGGAAAAGAGGAGAAAGAGTACCAAATACTCGCGTGAGGATGGTTTGAGTTGTGAAAGTCAAGGTGTGAAGTTTGAGAATATTTCTGAGAATACAACTTCGCCTAGAGCTGACTTCGGTGGTGAAAGCGGCATGGACATGTGAGATTCCTGCTGGCACTTGAGGATCCAGAGATTCTCGTCGAAAACATTCCGTTTTGCCCATTATAGGACTACTGTACCATTATTTCAACCCTGCAAAACTCGGGGCGAGTCCTCGGGTGCTCGGTTCTTCCTTCTTCCCGCAGTATCCTACCCTTTCTCGAGGATCAATCTCAATGTGCTCGAGCTTGACTACACCCGTCGGAGGATGTGAGTATGTATCCGAAGGCAATGGACTCGAGTGCGCACCAAATCGAGGCACCGGTGCAGACAAAGTGCAGCACAGCCCTCGCCGTTCCGCGTAGCACCGGACGGGCCTCAAATGCTCTCGAGCCGTGCGCGGGTTAGGACACGTTATGGTTGACCGGCAGGGGACGAGGAGCGACCGGATGCGATAGGGGGCGGGCGGGTTCGATCCATGTCCCTGTTTTGTCGGAGCGCGAGATCGCTTCCTCGAACGCCCGAGCGATGACGCTCTTGGGAATGGGTGATAAATGCGAGAGGAAAATCGCACAGACGCTTACGACTTTGCATGGATGGCAACGCGTCGAGCAGGAGCAGGAGGAGGTCATGGGAAGGGCTTGGAGGCTTGTGGGGATTTCGGCTGGCGTTCTCATTGGGGAAAAAGTGGGGCGGAGTAGAGTAGAGTGGGAAGGAAGTCGGAGAAGAGCGCTCGTTGTTGTTGTTGTTCAAGTGGGGCGGAGGACAAGAGTCGGAAAGGAGAGGAAGACGCCGGCAGGGACTTAATAAGGGGCGAGAAAAAGCGTCAATTATGCAGCCGGGAGATTGCTTGGTGGGGGCGAATCAACGACACACGGTTGACATCCTGGACGGGATTCCATAATGGGATGGGTCTGGGGAGCATGCAACGGGAGAGGACCACCTCGTCCGGCTGCCATGCCTCTTTCATGAGACGGGGAGACTCTTGGTGCCGGGGCTGCTGCTCTTCTATGATTGCGAGAGTTCTGAGCCCTCCGGCCCTCGGCCACGGCCCTTATTCTGCGCTTCATTCTCATTCAGCCAGCGCCAACAAACAGCCCTGCCCCAGGCCCCCCAGAGAGCGCTGCATAGTGTAGATGTGCCACGACCAAGCGCCTTGCTCATCTGACTTCCAGCTCTTGAGGTGGGAGGGTGGTTGGTAGGTGAGAGAGTGGGCCACCCGGGGGCATACATTTTCTCCCTGTGTAGATGGCCATGAGCCAAAAACACCAACATATGCTTTTGCAGATATTATGGTCGCCTCTGGATGCTCCCCTCGCTTTCCATTTCCTCCTTTCTGGACCTGGCCTCGTTCTTCCACAGTGAGTGGCCTCTCTCCAGTGCTCACTCTCACTCTCGCACTGTTGCTGATTTCGTCTCGCCTCCAGGACACTTATCTCGCCGGTCATGGCATTTCCCCAGCACCCTGCTCGCCACACCCCCACCTCACCCACCTCCTCCAGTCTCCTCTGCTTTTGTCTCATCCTGTCGGATATTTTCCTTTTTATTGTGTGCCATTTTTGCTGCTTTCTTTTCGGCCAATTCGCTTTTTCTTAGCAGGATGTGGAGGAGGTGATGCTGGTGCTGGCGATCGGTTAGTTGCTTTTCTGGCTTGTTCTAGTAGTTCCCAAAAATAGAGGGGCTTCGGCGAGAAAGGTAAAGTTAAAAGAAGCCCCGCTAGGGCCAATGAGTAAATGAAAGGTGTGCTTAGCTGTCTGGAAGTTCATCGAAGCTCGGTCTTGTCCCTTTCCATCATCTGCGGACGGTCGTTCCGGCCGAGCGCCGGGAACCTGCGACGGGGAGCTTTCCCGGCGGCCGGAAGGCGACGAGTACGGAAGATCTGAGGCAAAGGATGACTCGTTCGAGCAGGACAGAATCCGAGGCTCTGCGCCACGCCACGTCCACGCTGGCACGCCACTCATTGACGGGACCGAAGAACCATGTTCGGGGCTGCTCCATGATCCTTCCCCTTCCCCTGCCCGGGCGAGAGAACATGGCGCATGGCTATGGCACTCCACTGCCCCTGCCCCTCCGTACGGACACGGTAGTTTCTGACCGACACCCGCAGAGGCCAAGAAGTTTTCCGTTGGTGGATAATGGGACATTTCCGTTGCGGCGAAGCAGTTATCGGCCGACGGATCGGGCGGGCAGCGGAGGCGAAGTCGCAGCGTGGAGCTTTGTTTATAGAAAGCCCCAGCATTTGCCCCCCGGCGAATCTGTCCATTTCTAGATAAATCGCCTCATTGCAGGTTCTGTGTCAGAGGGATTGGCGGGGGGAGGCAGGCCAAGGTGGCAGAGCAAATTTTCTCGTCGATTGTTTGCGTATGCGTTGTCCTGCTGCCTATGCGATAAGCCCCCGGCTCTTATATGGTTGTACCATCGTGCGCCGCTCCGGTGGCAGATGCAGCAGTAAATTGAGGCCTCCAACAGTGACCCGTGGTTGCAGTAAATGAAAGTTACTCTGTGCTCACTTGGTTTCAATTCCTCACTGAGCGAGAGCGAGTCAGTGAGTCAGTCATTGGCGGTGTCGGCGACGCTGTGTGTTCTCGCCAGCAGACGTTAAAGCCAGGCCCAGGGCCCGTTTGACCATGGGGCTGCGTCCGAGCCGAGCTCCGGTGCCCGGTCCCGGGAGGCGAGAACAGGACCAGAGAGGAACATCATGCAGACAACCACCGCCTGCGAGTCCCGTTGGACGATCCCCGGGGATCTCAGCCCCTTCATTCATGAGCGACCGGTGGCGACCATGTTTTGGCCACAAGCGTCGTACGGTACCTGTGGAGCGGGAAAGGCACAGCAGGCGGAGTCGCGAGGGTCGGAGGGACGTTGAAGGCAACTGATACCTTCCGGTCGAGAAAGGCTAGGCTAGTCGTAGCCACCGGGAGCAGCGATAGTGGAGTCAGTCGAGCCGGCCTGACAAGAAGCCGCAGGCGTAGACTGTTAGTCTACTCGCTCGCGAGCCACTGTCGCAGGCTCTAGAGCCCTAGCCGCTAGAGAAGATCCACGGGAACATAAAGAACTGGCGAAGCGTGAGATTTGTTGCTTTTGCATTATTTCGCCCAGTCAGTTCCAGAGTCGCACTCACGCACCGGATGAGGGATCCATCGATGCACCCATGATCATCCATCGCTTCGCTCCCAGTGCGACTGCCTGAACTCGGGCCCTTGGGCTGCACTGCTGCAGCTGCTGCGTGGTGATTGCAGGCGCTCGCTGGCAGCGGGGCAGGCCGAGCTGCGCGAATCACAGCATCGCAGCACAGACGGGCAAATGTTTTGTCTGGGAGAGGCCGAGAATCATTAAGGAAACTCATTGTTTTTCCTGCTGACCTCGCGTGGCCCGAGCGGCGAGCCTGGCCGAAGAACCAAGCGCTATGAAGTGAGAGCAACAACCAGGTCCAAGATAAGGAACGGAAAGTGAAGCGTGAGTTCCTCGCCTGCTGTGCTGTGCTGTTTCTCGATCACCGGATAACCAGACCGGGCCAACGGCCTCCCGTGATTTATTCCTCGCCAAATAATGTACTGCTAGCCCACCTTACCACTAGCCCCTCCTTTCCTCCCACACCGTCTTACGGCACTATCAATCACGCCTTGTCCTCAAGTAGCTTGTCCTTTGTTGTCCTGAGACTATGACCCGAGTCAAAACTTAACCCTGCACCCTCTCTCCGAGATGTGTCATTCGAGTCACCGCCACTCATCATTCGCCACCTAATCCTGCTGGCTCTGAAGCGGACGGCCACGTCAAATGCAGCGCTCTTTCTTCCTTCAGTAAATCCTGGGCGACAGATCTCCTCCAGAGTCCCACGCTAATTGCGCACCTACGAGTACGAAAGCTAATCTCCGCGATCTGGTCGACGGACTGGAAATGGCCCAACCGGCACTTCTCTTCCTAGCCCCATATTGAATGACCTCCACCTACTAATAAAACTCTCCCACTCGCAGTCAGAACTCGCCATTAAGTACTAGAGTTAGGCTAAACTGGCCGTCGAGATAACGCCATGGGAAATCAGCTCAAGTTCCAAGGCTCGCGTCGCCACAATGCACGTCGACGTACACTAAAATGCTCGAGTAGGCTCGATGGACGTATGCATAAGTGCTTATTATATTGTATGGCGAACCGGCCGAGCATGCGACATTATTTAGCGAGAAAAGGCCGAAACGAGGGGTTTGGATTATATGGACAAACTTTTTTGTCCTTTTAACACATACCGCAGTACGAGCATGATTTGACGATCCTTATTTTATTATAAAATTTTCATTAATCATAGATTAATGTAATTTACTGCTGGTTGTGAGTTTAGGGAGTCTTATAGATGATTAAATTTTTTCTAAGATTGAAATTTATTACCAAAAATTAAAAAGTCTGGAAATGCTCAAAATCATAAGGAAGAAAATAAACTGTTTTTGAGGAAACCTCAGACAAACCCTCAAAACATACTGTGTAAATAACAAACGCAAGAGCGAGATAAACTGTTCAAAGAGGGCCTTAATCCCATCGTATATTCCACCTCCATGCTGTATTCTAATACTCCAATTTTAGCCTCAGATAAATCTCATTCTTCTCCCATCTAGAATTTTAGCTCTGAAGTTTACAACAAGTATGGGATTTCATTTACAAAGCTACTTTGTTCTTGGGTTGACATAAAAGGTGCAACAGAACAGTTTTGTAAATGAAATGAAGAACTGATTTATACAAGCTTGATTTATCGTTCTTATACAATTTTGATCTTCAACCTAATTTTCCAGATGTATGAAGTATCAACCCTATTTTGTTTTTTTTTCAACTGTGCAGTAACTCTTACTTTTAAAAACTTGTAAATCAAATCTCATCTGGGGATATTTCATAGATTAGAAATTATTCTAAGTTAAAGCTCTATTATGCTATATCGTACGTGATATATACATACACTATATAATCTGACAGAATGTTGTTAAATTAAATAAATCATTTTCAGGCCCAAAAGAAAGAATTCTTTCGGGCATAAAATTGATTCTTTGTTTTCACACATTTCAGACGTCAAGTGAAACATGCTTTTGATCTATCTATTATTTTTAATTATAATTATTATAATGAAACTGGTGTTCATTTCAAAAGGAATGACTACTACGTTTTCTTCGTTGTCTCTATTCTCAAGTTTCGAATATGGCTCGTCTTTTAGTGGTAGAGATCAACCCTCCCTCCCTTACTCAACGCAGACAACAACTTCCGATCTTCCCAACAAATTCATGAAGTGAACATGGAGTAAACAGATGGAGTGGCAGAGTCTTCGCTGTTGGTATGGACGACCAAAAACTCCTTCATGTAACGCTCACCAGTTCAAAAGCAAACAAAATGCCACCCAACTGCCTCTCGCTCACACTCCGGAAATATTGATGGACATCAGCGAGCCACAAGCCGCTTTGCTTGCTCATTCAAGACTCGCCTCACCCTCCATCGGTACTTCTACCGGTGCCGCTGGCTGTCTGGAAATGGCCGGAAGCTACTCGCAGAGCCAGATATTGCTCGGATTTCACCCACTCGATAATGCACTCAAATGTTGGAGAGAGGAGGCATCACAATATTCACGGCACTTATCAGTTGTGCCCCTGCTAGCTCGACTAGCTCGACCACCACTGAGCTAAACTGCCTAGCGAGCTGTAGTCAGACTGTCCGGTACGACAGGCCTCAACTTCCCGGTCCGTCCCGTCCCGTCCCATCTCGTCGCTTTCGGCACGGCCACGAATGATGGGACCAAATCACAGACCGCTTCCGAGCCTTTGATACGACATCCGAGCCTGGGGCCGGGAGTGCTACATATGATATCACGTGTGAGAATAGGGCTTAATGGGGGTGTGGTATGTTGTGCTAGGTTTCGAGCATAGGGGAAGGGGGCGGGGGGCGGGGACGCATGAGGTGGGGCTAGGCGTTTAGGGTTCGAGGGCGAGAGATTGGGGCATGGACACTAGACGACTGAACCGGATAGGGCAACCCGGAAGGGCGCTCGAAGCTAGGCACGTGGCAGATAGAGTGTGACAGCTTCGCTCGCTGTAAAAGCTTTTCCCCGACTAAAGCACCAGTGGCTCCGTATTTATTCTCACATGCCTTTCCCGCCTGCCGGCGGAGGCATTACCGGCATCGGCCCTTAATCTGCCGGTGACTCAACTTCCGTAACCTCCACGATAAAGCTTTTTCCATGCCACCCTCTCGAGGCACGTTTTCCAAGGAGTGCAGTTCCCGGCGCCCATCCATCTTCTGGCGTTGACAAAAGGTAAACCGACCACGGCCGGCCAATATCCGGGAGAGACAGTAGCGACTTCTCGAAAATTGAGAGATTCCCAAACATTTATGGATCCGCGAATGAAGCTTTGTTCCCGAAGTAGACCCTCCGGAGAAGTGGAAACTCTCTGATATCATCTCCAGTTGCAACCTGCGTTCCCTGTTATGCTGGAAGCATGAATAAATTGTCCCTGCCTGAAATGTTAACTTCTCCCCCTTTTGTAACTGACTTATCCCAACAAACCCCTCGCGTTCCGTTTTCCTTAATTTTATTATTTCCCCGATGTTAGAATTAACCAATAAAACCTACTCACTCTTCCTTCATCTTCATGAAGTGAATGGAAATATCATAAATGTGATTTTCATATAAAATAGGAAATAAACTTTTCATTCTAATCCAAAATTATGATTTGACAGAGACATAAGACATTTCACAACTTTTAAGATAAAATGATAGCATTTTGAAGTAAATAAAAAAACATGTCAAATTACAAAAAATCTAAAATATATTCTTTTCCACTTTTCTTGCTTTACAAAGCCTCGTGATATTTTATACGGAACTCTTCGTAGTTGGAACCTTATAACAGCATCATACTTACATGATAAAATAATATGATTTACGAGAAACAAATATTTATATCAATGATTTGTTTGAAAACCAATAATTCTCCTCTTTTTCCATATAATGCTTTTATTTCAAAAAAAATGAAATATGATGTTGTTAGAAAATTTTCCCAAATGAAAGTACAATTTCATCCACCTATTTTTGCAGCACATAGCAAATTTTGGAATATGTACAGCTTTCTGTTTAACAATATTCATTAAAAAATGAAATTCATATCGTAAGCTTTATATAGTAAAAAGTTAATTTTTAAAGGATAAAATTTTATTACGGAAGATAATGAATGGCTCACCATCGCACAAGAGGTAAGGAATTCAATGTAAGATTCTCACAAAAAATTATTGAAGTCCCGAAAATAATAGAGATATGGCTTATCACTCCAGAATATTTCCCCTTCCAGTAAGTAGCTAAGTCCTCGATATAAAGGGATGGTATTCCAAATGTCGGTCTCAGACGGCTGACACCGGAGCGCATGAACGAGCTGAAGGTCCATGGGGCGTACGGGTCTCAATAGGGCTTTTCTCCACATGGCACCATTGGATAATTGTATGTGGTTAGCATTAAAGATAAAAATTAAGATAAAGTTTCGCTAATAAGATGAATTCGATTAGAATGTGGTCAGGTCTTCAGAAGCTGGAGCGAGGAGTCATTATTTGTCGTAGAGCTGGCCAGGTGTGTCCGTTCTTCACGCAATTCCGTACGCTTCACTGACGCTCGTTGTACACTTCAGGTCGTCAGCTGACCATCCGTCGCATGGGCCCTTCTCACCTTACCGTCTTTCCACGATCTGTTTCTTTCCCACCGAAGGTTCGTACCTTCCCTCCGGCCCAGCCTCCGTGCTCGATCATCGGGACGAGAGAGGATTGGGGATGGGCGGGTCTAATGAGAACGGGCCAGGCGAGGAGCGAGCCCGAGATGTCCTGGGCGTCCTTGGGCGAGGGTCGATCCATCTCATCTCTGTGGTCACGCTCACTGAATGTAAAGGGGAGTGGCGGCGGATGGGATCCCGTGACGAGTCTGACACCAACCCCCGCAGGCGGGAAAGGTAAACCGAGTAAAATAGCAGGCAGCATGGCGAGGGCTTGACTCGGAGGGCAGGCGGGAAAGAGGTCGACGCGTTGGAGTCGTGAGAAAAGGGGAAAACGAACTTTAATGTGAACCACAAAGCCCAGCGACGGACGTACCCCGCAGGGCCTCGGGCATGCGGTATACATCGATCGACCGTATCCGGGTACGGTTCGGTGGCGACAAAGGACGACTGCGTTCCATGTAAGCAGCGACGGACGCTTTCCATCCACATGCCGACAGGGGCCGTACGTATAGGGCATCAAACATGGGGCACTGGGATGGATTGCATGGGAAATGGGCTTGCGCCCGTCTTCCTCAAGATTCCCGACAGACCCTGAAAAGCTAGAAGTCCACCGGCCCCGCCGGTGACATTCCATCTTCCTTTTCCTCCCGCGAGCTCTGGCCGTGTAGTATCAGGTGGAGCGCTGGCCGGGCAGCGGGCACGTGTAATGCATGACGCGCAATCAATGAGCTACGTACGTCGTATGACCGCGCAGGCGATTCTGATCGTACTGTGTGGGCGAGAGGGGCGAGCGAGAGGGAGTCCCAATGAGTATTGGGATGTTGAACCACGGACGGACGGAGGGTACGCGCACACCTCAAGATGGGTACAGCGTCCCGTCCCAATCTTTGGTAACGATTGCAGAAGAACGTGAAGGCAGAGTACGCTCGCTCGCTCGCTCGCTCCCTCCCTCCCTCCGCAGATGAGAAGGATGTCGACGGATGTCTCCCTGCACCCAGAGACTTCAAGGCTGGAGAAATTCGGGAATTCATGATGATGCGTAGGTCGCTATTCCGGGGCTTGCAGAAAATGCAAGCCATCAAAGGAACGACAGGCATTATTATTATTAGCCCCGACCGTGGAGGACCGACGGGAGGACTGCTGGAGGACGCTGGAGAAGATCTGCTCTTGGACCCTTTCGCCATTTTCGTGGTCCACCAGGCTGTCCGTCATGGCCGTTCAGAGTTCGCAATCTTCCAGATTCCACCGCGACCTGAGGTCGCCGGTTAAAACTACGGGGCTGGCCGGGCGCTGACTGATGCGCTGACGCGTCCTTCTGCCTATTCCCTTTGCCACGTGCCGACGCCAGATACCGGCGGGCCTACCGGGGAGCGGAGGTCTCCTCCACTGGTGCGCTCCAGACAGCCGGTTGCTCAGTTCCGTGGACCGTTCCATGTCGGCGTCGTTATTGCTGAGCTTTCTTCGCTTGCCTCGCCCAACAATTGAAGAAGGTGATGAACACGCATCGCCGGCTATTGGACATCGGTACCCAT